GCCAAAATCACTTTGAGATGTTTTCACTCTTTGTTGCTAATATTCCTGTCACCATTTGAGCCCAGGCTGGCTAAGGCAGACTTCCATCTCCCAGATGTTGGGATCAGAGGCATGCCTGGTTAATGTGCTGTTAGAGAGCAAACCCAGGGTTTCCTGCATGCCAGGCAAGTACTCTACCAGCTGACCTACATCCTCAGTCCTGCTTATCTAGAGTCTTTAACAATAGCAGTGTCCAATTCCTGCAAGGACCTATTTCATTTGTAATTGCATTTTCTTTGATCTGAATTTCACTTCTAGCACTATTGCTGCTCATTTCCTGTTCCACTTTCATGTAGCATGAATCTTAAAGAGTCTTATTAATAAAATCAAACCTGGAGCCAGGTACTGGGGTGGACACTGGAAGATCAGAGAAGCAGAACAAGCCACAGCTTCCTCACCTCGCCAATTCCTCAGCTGATCCTGTTTCCTCAGACTGGAAGCCTCTGTGTCCTAATCCAAAATGGATCTCAGCTGAACTGCTGCTCAAAAGCCTAAAAGCTTAACCAGCTCTAGTTCCTGGTCCTCACGCCTTAAATACCTTTCTGCCTCCTGCCATTACTTCCTGGGATTAAAGGCGTGAGTCACCATGCTTGGCTGTATCCTTGAACACACAGAGATCCAGGTGGATCTCTGCCTCTGGAATGCTAGGATTAAATGCGTGTGCTACCTCTGCCTAACCTCTATGTTTAATATTGTGGCTATTCTGTTCTCTGACCCCAGATAAGTTTATTAGAGTGCACAATACTTCAGGGAACACAATACCACCACATTTCCCCTTTTTTGTCTAAAATGAATAAAGCTTATAACTAATACAAGAAAAACTATATCCAATAAGTATATACAATATATACAGTCAAGAATTACATTAATGACGTCGAGTCCATTAACATTTGACAGATTCAGACAAAAATTCTATTATATATATTAACAATGTCCTGTCCAGTAACATTTGATAAACTCAGACAAAAAATTTCATTACTTATCCTATTTAAAACAAGTGGTTCCTTTTTAAAAGTAGATTCAATAATCTCCCTTTTTATCTTAGTGTATCTATATTCTCTCTTTTTTCTTTTCATAATAGATTCAGTAATCTACCTTTTGTCATTTTTATATCTTCCCCTTTTTCTTTTTAGAGTAGATTCAATGATCTACCTCAAATCTATATTGTCTTTTTTCTTTTTTAAACAAAAACTCTGAATATAATCTCTTTTTTCAGCGTTTTTCCTGACCATTAACAATTAACAACTTGTAACCCACCATGATAAACAATGACAATTATCCATAATCCATTGAATGACCAAAAAACACCCACCCCACCTCTTGGGAATATGGGTATAGTTTTCTTAAAATTACTTCCTGCTTTCTAGGGATGAAGGCATCTTTAGGGAATCTTGAAAAGAAAATTTTTGGGTTAATTGTCAAATCCTGAGAGGATTAATTGTATCATTTGTCCAGTATCTGCATAATGGGAAAATGCAGGGCTTGTCTCAAAGTTCTTGCTCGAGTAGTCTGTGAATCTGGATCATCTGAGCTAACCATCTCAAAATTGTCCTGAGTAGTTTGTAGTCCAAAGTCGATCTTTTGATGGTGTTAATTGACTTAATGGCTTTACCATAGTCTGTAGATGTATCCAACCTTCTTATTAAATAAGAAACACAGAACCAATGCAAAGAAGAAAGCCAAGAGGTCAGAGCTAAGAGCTAAAACCTTACCCTTCCTCCTGCGGTGGTCCTACCTCTCCGAACCAGAGCTACCCCTGTGTTAAAGTCTTTATATAGAGTTCCTGTCCTGCCTTCTCATTGGTTGTAAACCCAACCACATGACCGCCTCCTCACAGCCTGTCAGTATAGGCCTCCAGGTTTTCCATGATTAGTATTAAGATTAAAGGCATGTGTATCCAATAATGGCTGTATCCCTGAACACACAGAGACTTACCCAGCTCTGCCTACCAAGTGCTGGAATTACAAGCGTATGCTACCACTGCCCTGCTTTCCTATGGCTTGCTAATAGCTCTGACCCCCGGGCAACTTTATTTATTAACATACAAATAACATTTTAATACAAATAAAATATCACCATATTAGTCCATGTGGAGTCATCGTTGTGGGGTCTCGTCATCCTTTTGAAGATTTCAAAGTTGCTGTTAGGCGTGGTCATAGATCCCTTTAGAATTTATTTATTTGTTTATTTATTTATTTATTTATTGTACCTCCTCTGTGGTTTGGAGAAATCACAGTCTGATAAATGTCTGTCTCTCAGAACCATGAATGTTCTTCCCTAGAAGAGAATATCTTCACAGCAATTTCTCCCCACCATTTGTCTTGCCAAACTTTTCCAAACTGACCTTTGCCGATGCTTTCTTGTAGCATGATGGTCCTCGCAATTCTTCTCTGAACAAGCGGTAGTAAACCCTTTGTCCCAGCACGAAGAGAAGCAGCCAGCAACTCGGAGCAGCAGCCGCTGCCTCCATGGTCCCACCGCCACTGTTTGTGGCTTGGCTCCCTCCTTAGCAAGCCTCCCAGGCTGGCCTGAAACTCGGGATCCTCCTGCCTCTGCCTCCTTCAGGAAATCCTACCAGTGTGCTCCACCACAACTGGCTGAGGGTAGCTCAGGTCTGAGCTGGGGCCTGCAAGGCCACAGGCAAGCGGCTTTTTCATGAATTCATACCACGAATGTTGGGTGCCAGATGTAGCATGAATCTTAAAGAGTCTTATTAATAAAATCAAACCTGGAGCCAGGTACTGGGGTGGACACTGGAAGATCAGAGAAGCAGAACAAGCCACAGCTTCCTCACCTCGCCAATTCCTCAGCTGATCCTGTTTCCTCAGACTGGAAGCCTCTGTGTCCTAATCCAAAATGGATCTCAGCTGAACTGCTGCTCAAAAGCCTAAAAGCTTAACCAGCTCTAGTTCCTGGTCCTCACGCCTTAAATACCTTTCTGCCTCCTGCCATTACTTCCTGGGATTAAAGGCGTGAGTCACCATGCTTGGCTGTATCCTTGAACACACAGAGATCCAGGTGGATCTCTGCCCCTGGAATGCTAGGATTAAATGCGTGTGCTACCTCTGCCTAACCTCTATGTTTAATATTGTGGCTGTTCTGTTCTCTGACCCCAGATAAGTTTATTAGAGTGCACAATACTTCAGGGAACACAATACCACCACACTTTTATGCTTGTGAGTCAGTTTCCTTGTGAAGTTATCCATTTTTATAAAATGTCATACAAGGTTATCATTGGGAACAAGGAGGTAACACACTGCATGTTTTGCTGTTGTATGTGAGTAATCAGTTACCAACAGAGGTGATGCAATTGCTCACCTGTACATCTGTTATTTATATTATGGTTTTTGTACTGAAGAGTTAACAGTAAAGCTTATGATTTATGCAGTTATTCACAATTAATAAGCATACTGCGGGGTGGGAGAGATGGCTCAGTGGTTAAGAGCACTTCCAGAGGTCCTGAGATCAATTCCCAGCAACCACATGGTGGCTCACAGCCTCCTGTTATGAGATCTGGTGTCCTCTTCTGCTGTAAGGACACATGCAGGCAGAATACTGTATACATAATAAACAAATAAATCTTAAAAAAATATTAAAAAGAAAGAAAAAGCATACTGCGATCATTGAAGTTCGAACTGTGTGAGGAGATTGGTATCTGTAAGATCATACTGAGCACGCCTGTTTTGAGACACCTTAATATGGTATATTATATGACACAGTAACTAATCTGGCTTCTTGCCTCTTCAGGCTCCTCTTAGGGCCATTTTTAAAAAATTATTTTAGATCTACTCATTTTACTTTGTATATATGAATGTTTGGCCTGTGTGTCTGGTGCCTGTGGAGGCCAGAAGAGGGCATCAGATCCCCTGGAACTGGAGTTACAGATGGTTGTAAGCCACCATTGGGTGCTGGGACTCAAACCTGGGTGTAGTTGGAAGTTTTCCTGTGTCCTGGCTGGCTGGCGGTCGGAAAAATCTCTCCCACTTGCATCCCCCAAGTAAACACACAGAGATTTATATTAATTAGCTCAGGCTTATTACTGACTAGCTCTTACACTTAAATTAACCCATAATTCTTATCTATGTTTAGCCATGTGGCTTGGTACCTTTTCTCAGTTCTACCTTGTCATCTTGCTTCCTCTGTGTCTGGCTGGTGACTTCCTCTTCCCAGCCTTCTTCTCGTCTGCTTACCCTGCCTATACTTCCTGCTTGGTTACTGGCCAATCAGCATTTTATTTATTAATGAATCAGAGCAACACATATTCACAGCATACAGAATGATATCCCACAGCATCTGGGTCCTCTGATGAAAAAGCAACAAGTGTCCTAAACCTCTACTTTGTGGAAACTGTGTGCAGACCATAGGCATACAGTGCTGTCAAGTTTGAATTCCCCTATCTCTTTCCCAGTTCCTCGTTCCTTTCCCTACCTTCTTCTGTTGGTTTTGCTTTATCTAATCATTAAGTTTTTCTACAGCATTTGAGTTCTCTTTCATAATACCAAACACGTGTTCACATTGTATTACGCTCATTTATTGAACTTTCACTGCCAGACTGATCTCTGTGTTACTAGAGACCATGGTAGTGATGTACTCTGTTATATCCCCAGAGCCCAACACTGTCTAACACAAAGTAGGCACTTGGAAAAATTAATTTTGATGATCATCATAATTTTGGTGAAATGTGAGAATAGAAGGTATTCTGGAAGAATGAATTCAGACTACTTAAACTTAACATAGAAATGAAACTATGAAATGTTGAACTTAATTTCCTCCTATACTTAAATGAAATTGTATATTTGGTAATATAATTCTATTATTTATATTATATCTAACAAATATATTACAGAAAGTTAACTGATTGGAAAACTTAAAATTGATTTTGATTAATAGGTAGATCAATAAAGGAATCACTTTTAATGTTATACATTTCTTTGGTCTGATCATTTTTATTTATTTCTAAGGTATCTTCATGTCTTAATGATCTTCTGGTCATTTGTTGCTGGAGTTGTGACATTCTACTGTTCATTAGGACCCGATTCTCTCTTACCAAATATATTCTTCACAATAAAATACAAACCTAAGGTAAAATTGTGTTTTTTTTTAAGTTAAATTTTTTTAAATATATGTGTGTACATGGTATGTCTGTGTGAGCATACATCACAAGTGTGAATACTCCTAGAGGTCAGAAGTGATTGTTAGATTCCCTGGAGCTGGAGTCACAGGCAGTTGTGAGCTACTCAATGTGGATGCTGAGAACTGAACTCTGGTCCTCAGGAAGAACAGCAGGCGCACTTACTGCTGAACCCTTTCTCCAGCCTTGTGATTTTTAATTTTATTTATTTATTTATTTATTTATTTATTTATTTATTTATTTATTTATTCATTCATTCATTCATTCATTTATTTATTTATTTTGGTTTTTCGAGACAGGGTTTCTCTGTGTAGCTTTGCGCCTTTCCTGGAACTCACTTTGTAAACCAGGCTGTCCTCGAACTCACAGAGATCTACCTGCCTCTGCCTCCCGAGTGCTGGGATTAAAAGCATGCACCACCACCGCCCAGCGCTGTTTAGTCTTAAAGCAATGATTTTCAAAAACCTACCTGTTATTATTTTATAATGGAACACATGAAGTCCATAGAAAAAGTTTAAAATGAGCGTTATGTATATTTATATATATGTGCATGTATAAATGCATAGATACTTATTTTAAGTTGATTGTATTTTTTTGGTGCTAAAGATTGAACCCAGTCCCTTGCATGTAATTCCCCACTGAGCTGCATCTTCAATCATAGTTGTAAGGCTTACAGTTCTAATAACAACTGTAAAAAGGAAATACAATCTTCTCAGAAAGTTGCAGTTCTCAATGTCAGCTTGTCCCCTGGGTACATGTTAACCACAAGGGCAATTAGTTTAGAACAGACGTTTTCAAAGCTGGTTGTACAAGAGACACCCCCCCCCCCCCCCCCCCCCCGCGCTTGGGCATAATCAACAATCTGAATTGTTGGGCCTTTCCCCCAGATTTTGATTAAAAAGTTCTAGGCTACTGCCCTGTAAATAGTGTTGTTAAAAGCTTTTCACATAGTTCTGAAGCACAGACATTTAAGGAATTCTGGGTTCAATAATAATCCAACCCTGTTAATTCTCATTCTTTCTGTCTCTGTCTCTGTCTCTGTCTCTGTGTGTGTGTGTGTGTGTGTTCTCACAGGCTAAGGATTGAACTCAGAGCCTTGTGCCTAAGCAAATGTTCTAGCATTGAGCTAACCCCAACCCTCCAATCCTGTAAATCTCTTAAATGAATATATGTACAATAGAAAACAAAAAATAATTAGGCAATTTGCTTAGCCAAAATAATTTGTATTTCTGAAATTTAATAGTGGTAGTAGTATATTAACTCTGTCCTCTGTAAGGCAAAATTCTGACTTTTAAAATTCTGTCCACAGGTCAGGATTTAGTGAGATACCCTTTTCCCCCTCACCGATGAAGAGAAAGCATGGGGCTTTGCACCTACTATTCCAGTGCTGCCCTTCAGAGCTGTGCTCCACTCCCCTAGGGGGCTATCTTTGAATCATGGATTATGGTTCTTTAAATTGATACAGTCCCTCATTGTAGGTTTGTGGTATTTCTATGTAGAGGGAACACAGAAGTCTGGGCCGTATTTGGTCATGGCCCTTAGGATTTATCACATGCCTTCCCCCTCATTGAAGCCAAGCTTTGGGAGAAATGGAGAAGAATGTTTTTTTTTTCTTTTTCCTATATTTTTTCAATTGAAGACACAGTCAAAGATAGATTTATTTATTTGTTTATTTGTTTGTTTATTTATTGTTAAAGATAGGGTCTCATGGGCCTTAAATTCTAGATCCTTGGCCTCCCCAGAGTTGGAATTATAGGCATGTATTACCATGCCTGCTAAGGGAACCTTTATTTTTGGTTCCCACTCTTACCTTTCTGGTGATAGGCATTGAACTTATGCCACAGTATATGCTAGAAAATTCTCTACTACTGGACCACTGAGTGGTTCATACACCCCAGGCCCAACTTAGGTATGGTAAAACATTTCATAAGGTGTTTTGTGTCCACTGGCAGTTAATTTAGCAGGTACTTATTACAAATAATAGTTTTAGTTTTGAAGCACCAAACAAAAAAAATTCTTTGAATGCTCTCATGGAGGGCAACAAAGCTATTGAAAATTGACTCTTCGTAAAAGAGATATTATGGAAACTAAAGACCAATCTCTTTTTTTTCTTTCCTTTTTTAGCAATTAGGACTTCAAGAGTTATTTCCGCAAGGTCATAGCTGTGCTGTTTGTGGTAAAGTAAAATGTAAACGACATAGGTAAGTTAAACTTTTTTTTTAAGTTGTGCTGTGTGTGTGTGTGTGTGTGTGTGTGTGTGTGTGTGTGTGTGGCCATGCTGTATGTCTGGAGGAGGTCGGAGCACAAGTCGGTTCTCTCATTCCACCTTTATCTGGGTTCTGAGAATCAAGCTCAAGTAATTGAGCTTCTAGGGCAAGTGCTTTTACCTAATGCTGAGCCACCTTGCTGCCCCTCAAGTTAAATGTTTTTATTTATTGATTTTTTAATTACATTTTATTACAAGTTATTATTTTAGTATAAGTGATTTAGTTGTTTGATTTACTTTAGGCCTTCCTTGCTACTTGAAAACTACCAGCCCTGGCTAGACCTGAAAGTTTCTTCCAAGGTGGATGCATCTCTCTCAGAGGTAAGTAATTTAACTAACATTGCCAAATATGAGCATGTATTATTTAAGGATGGGACTGTGTTCTGAAAATCATAGGCAGTTTTGTCCCTGTGAGAGCATCACAAAATGTGCTTGTACAAACTCTGATGGTAACTTCAGTCATTGCACAGGACTTCTTGATGCTGTCAAGAGTTATGCAAATGTGAGGGATTTGAAGCTGCTCCTGGCCTAACATGGTGTATATTGTTTTACAGAAAATTTTTTAATAAATAGGAATAAACTTTAAAATATAAAGTACAGTATTATTCTAATTTAATTTCTGTTGCTGTGATAAACTATCGTGACAAAAACAGCTTAGGGGAGGAAAGGGCTTATTTGGCTTACAGTTTCATGTTCTAGTCCATTGTTGTGAGAAAGTTAGGGCAGGATGTAGACATGTGGATACTTGCATGCTTGCTTCCAGCTAGCTCTTTCCTCTTACACTATTCAGGAGCCCCTGACTAGGGAATGGTGCTGTCCATAGTGGCCTGGGTCTTCCTATATTGATTAACCACTAAGACATTTTATATATATATACCGATAGGCCAACCTGATCTAAATAATTCCTATTTGAGACTTTCCAGTGATTCGGGGTTATGTGAAGTTGACAGTTAAAATTAAGTAGCACAGATATAAGCATAAAACTATATAAACATATACTATAAAGTGTAGTATGCCATAGATTATAAAGTATGAATAACATAGTAAATGTATTTATTATCAGTAATGTACTTATTATCAAGTGTTATATACTATGCATAATTGTATGTGCCATAGATTGTTGTAACTGGCAGCACAGTAGTTTTGTTTATACCTGAATTGCTGTGAACATACTAGCAGACATGTGTTATAGCAGCTGTGATACCCAGGAGGTGGAAACTTTTGTAGTCTTATGAGACCACTGTTAAATATGCCATTTGTGTTGGCTGAAATATTATTTGGTGCATGACTATATATCCAAATAAAAAATATTGAATACCAATAGAGAAAATTTCCTGATACTTTTATCAGAAAATCTAATCTTGATACACCTTATTAAGTTAGGCATGGTGAAAAAAAATTTTTGCTGGGCAGTGGTGGCGCATGCCTTTAATCCCAGCACTTGGGAGGCAGAGGCAGATGGATCTCTGAGTTCAAGGGCAGCCTGGTCTATAGGAGTTCCAGGACAGCCAAGGCTATAGAGAGAAACCCTGTCTCGGAAAAAAAACAACAAAGAGGCATGGTGTTTCATTCCTATAATTCCAGCACTTGGGAGGTTGAGGCAGTGGGATTGAGTTTGAGGCCAATCTGGGCTACAGAGTAAGTACAGAACCTGTCTTAAACAAACAAACAAACAAAAAACAAAAAATAAACAACAGCAATGAAAACAAACAAACAAACAAACACCACAACCACATCTTAATGTTTATCACCTAGTGAGTTCTTGGTTGGATAATGGTCATGAAGTAAACACCTTGAATATTAAGCTATTCTAATGTCAAATTTATATAGACATTTCAGTCAAGGAAACTACTACTGTAAGAGCGGGTGTCTTTATGATAGGGAAATAACCATTTGCAAAGGAACATTGAACTCTTAAGCATGTATCTTAATGAAGTATGACTCCAGTTTTAACACTGACTAAGCTATAGGGTAATGCTCTCTAGAAAGTTTGTATCCTATTCTAGTCACAAAGCTTCTATTTTGCTTTTCTTTCATACTTATTTATTTGTTTGAAAAGACATACCTTTTCTTTGCATCCAAGGTATTAGTCAAGTCCTTAAAGATAGGGAGTGTGGAGTATCTCACTTTTTCAACAACTGATTTGGAGTCACATAGGCGGTTGAGCAATGATAGATGATAGCTATGTACTGAACTACATTGAATGCTAATTAGTTCAAGAATAGCACCAGGCAGCTGAACCCTGGTTTATCCTTTATCTCATTTTGTGTGTGTTCTAAATGTAAGCTGCATGCATTGTCAAACACTTGGCATTTTTCATTTTTGTTGCTTCTTAGGCTTTTTCTGTTTCTTTGATTTGTTGATTTAAACTATGCAGTCCAGAGCTAGGAATGGAATTCAGTGGTAGTATGCCTATATACCATGTGCAAGAGCCTGGGTGCCATCCCTAGCATTGGGGAGATATTTATTGTGCTTTCAGTATGGCATTCACGACTACACATGTAGCATCAGTAAATACCTGAAGTGTTCTAGTACAATCCAAGATGTGCTAGACATAAATACATGCATACATACACACACATATACATATATATGTACATACATACTAGATTTTAAAGGCTTAGAAAAAATGTTAAATGTCTCTGTTATATTGATTAAAAAAAAATTTTTTTTTTCCGAGACAGGGTTTCTCTGTGTAATAGCCCTAGCTGTCCTGGAACTAGCTCTGTAGACCAGGCTGGCCTTGAACTCACAGAGGTATGCCTGCCTCTGCCTCCCAAGTGCTGGGATTAAAGGTGTGTGCCATCATCGCCCAGCTAAATGTTAAAATGATCATAGTTTTGGCTATATTAGGTTAAATAAAACAATTTCATCTATTTCTTACAACTAATTTCATCCAGTTCTTTTTACATTTTGAAAAACGTGGCTACTATTTAGAGAATTTAGACCACTTCACTCATTACAAAAATGAAAAAACTTAGGTAAAGCTCTTAACCCTATGTCTGTTGTGCTGGGGAGTTTTGTGAACTTGACAGAAACTAGAGTCATCCTCACTTGAGAATTTACCTACATCAGACTGACCTGTGGGTCATTTTCTTGATTGATGATTGATGTGGGAGGGCCCAGCTTACAGTATGTGCTGCTACCCCTGGGCAGGTGGTTCTAGGTTGTATAAGAAAGCAGACTTTGCAAACCATGGAGAGCAAGCCAGTATGCAAGAGTTTTTCATGGCCTTTGCTGTAGTTCCTGCCTCCAGATTCCTGCCTTGGCTTTCCTCTTGTTGAACTGTAAAGTGTTAGATGAAATAAACCCACTCCTTCCCCAAGTCGGTTTTGGTCTGTGTTTTACCACAGCAACAGAAAGCGTACTAGTATGGCTCACAGTATTGGTACATTTAAAATGATCTTGATAGAGACAGGAACTGGGGTAGCAGGCCTTAGGGGGTGAAAAGAGAAATGAGGTGCAATTGGTCCTTCTTTGCTAGAACTTCCATTTAGAGAGAGAGAGAAAGATGTTGGAGTTGATAGTGAAAGGTGCTGAAGATGATCTCTAACCTCCATGCACACAGACACACATGTAGTTGGTTGTGTTTTTACTCTTTGGCTCTTTGCTCTTTGGGGGCCCACCACCCAGCTACCAAATAGATATACACACAGAGGCTTATTCTTTCTTATGAATGTCTGGCCTTAGCCTGCCTTATTTCTAGCCAGCATTTCTTAAGTTATCCCATCTACCTTTTGCCTCTGGACTTTTATCTTTGTCTGTTCAGTATACTTTTCTTTACTTCCACTCCATGGCTTGCTGTGTAGCTGGATGGTTGGCCCCTGATGACCTCCTCCTTTTTCTTTCTACTCGATTCTGTCTCTCTTGTTCTCCTTCTATTTATTCTGTCTTCCTGCCAGCCCTGCCTATCCTTTCTCCTGTCTTGCTATTGGCCGTTCAGCTCTTTATTAGACCAATCAGGTGTTTTAGACAGGCACAGTAACATAGCTTCACAGAGTTAAACAAATGCAACATAAAAGAATGCAACACATCTTTACATCATTTTATTAAACAAATGTTCCACAGCATAAGCAAATATAACACATCTTAAAATAATATTCCACAACACACACAAAGAAAAAAGTCAGGTCCAGTTTAGTTCTTATCCAGTATTTTATATAGCTGTTAGGAAATCATGCTGGGCATGGTGGTGTGTACCTTTAATCCTAGCACTTGGGAGGCAGGGGCAGACATATTTCTGTGACCTCCTTAGTGAGTTCTAGGAATATATAGAGAGACCCTGTGTCTCCAAGAAAAAGAAATCAGAAGGCTTCAGATTATTTGAACTTGGAAGCTAATGATTTTCAAACTGTGTGACTAGAGCTTTAGATGTGACTTACGGTGTAGCAGGAAGTGAAAAGGAAGGAAGTGGCTGTGGTTGCTGGCATGTAGGCTCTCCAGAATTAGCACAGCCATTTTGCTTTTCAGGTATTTTGGTTTGGTATAATCCATTGAGGGTTTCATAGGGAAGTGTGTGGTGAATGCATGTTTTAGATCACTGGTACATCTGGAGGCTAGAGGGTAGCAAGCTTGGAAGCAGGGAGACTAGTTGAGAGTCAGCTGCTGGGAAACAATTCAAGCAATGGAGCCACAGAAGAGAGCTGAGGGTTTAGTGACCCCCCCCCCCCCCCCCCCCCCCCCCCCCCCCCCCCCCCCCCCCCCCCCCGCCCTAGTATAATTAATGTTTAGTTTTGGTAATTAAAAAAAAAAAAAACAAAAACAAATGATTTTAGCCTTACTGCTTAGAAATGGACATCTTTGGTTAATGATGCCAGGAAAGGAAATGGCAAATCTTATTTTTTTTCCTTTGAGACAAGATTTCTCTGTGAAGCCTTGGCTATCCTGGACCATCTGTAGACCAGACTGGCCTCGAATTCATAGAGATCTGCTTGCCTCTGCCTCCCGAGTGTTGGGATTAAAGGTGTGGGCCACCACCTCCTGGCTGGCAAATCATTTTTGAAAGATACATTGTGTCTTAGGGTTATTATTGCTGTGATGAAACAACATGATTAAAAGCAAGTTGGGGAGAAGGGTTTATTTATTTGGCTTATACTTCTATATCACTATTCATCACCAAAGGAAATTAGGACAGGAACTCAAGTAGGGCATGGACCTGGAGGCAGGAGCTGATGGTGAGGCCATGGAGGGGTGCTATTTCCTGACTTGCTGCCCCTAGCTTGCTCAGCCTGCTTTCTTATAGAACCCAGGCCTACCTGCCCAGGGATGGCACTACCCACAGTGGGCTAGGCCCTTTCCCATCAATCACTAATTAAGAAAATGCCCTACAGGCTTGCCTGCAGCCTGATCTTATGGAAGCATTTTTTTTTTCAATCTCTCTTTCCTTTTCTTCTCTTCTTTTTTCTCTCTCTCCTTTCCTAGTTTTTTGAGACAGAATTTCTCTGTGTAGCCCTAGCTGTCCTGGAACTCACTATGTAGACCAGGCTAGCCTTGAACTCACAGAGATCTGCCTGCCTCTGCCTCTCAAGTGCTGACATTAAAGGCGTGAGCCACCACAATCATAACGTCTCTAGTTGACATAAAACTAGCGAACACACATTGCTTCCTCTTCTCTCTTGCTTTTGTGAGTTACTGCACAATGCTGCAACTCCTTGTTAAAGTTACAACATGCAGCTCCACTCAGACCCAAGAAATGGAATATTTAACTGAACCTAGGGGTCTTTTGATCTGTTATCTTATATACTGGTTTTAAGTATATAAGCTGAAGTTTTCAGAAAGTGAGTGCATCCATATAAGTATCATCAGAGCAAGAAATAAAACATTAGGAGTGTCCCAGATTTTCCCTTCATGCCCTTCAGTCACCATTGTTCCTTCAGAGAAAATCAGGGACACCTGATTTTGATTCTCTGTGTAAATCTTATGTACTGTTTTTTTTTTTTTTTGGTTGATCAGTTTTTGTTTTTGTTTAGTGAAACCAGTTAGGAACAATTCATTGAAAAAAGATTAAAAATTTATTATTGTGTGTATTATGTGCATGATGTGTGTGTGTGGTTTGTATGCATGGTGTATGTATATATATCAGGACAACTTTCTGGAGTCAGTTCTCTCCTTCCACCTTTTCATGGATTCTAGGACTCAAACTCATCTCACCATACTTACCCAAGTAAGTACGTTTACCTGCTTAGCCATCTTGATGGCCCTTGTTGAAACACTTTTGATTATGGAGATATTCAAGATATATGTGCCATTCTAATAGAAACTTCTTTTCTGGATTATATAATTTCAAATTTTTTCCCCTTCAGTTCTTATTGAGCCTCACAACCATGTAAAGTTGACATAAATATATTGTCAAGAAGTTTTGTCAGCTGGGCAGTGGCACAAGCCTTTACTCCCAGCACTTGGGAGGCAGAGGTAGATGGGTATCTGCGTTCAAGGCCAGCTTAGTATACAGAGCTAAATCCAGGACAGCCAAGGCTATACAAAGAAACCCTGTCTTGAACCCCTTGCCTCCCCAAAAAGGGGAGGTATTTGGTATAATAAAATTGGTTGTTGCTAATATATATCATTTAGTAGTATGGTTTATTTCCCTATAGTTAATTATTTTTCTTTAAAATTTTCTTGTGCAGGTTCTTGAATTAGTGTTGGAAAACTTTGTTTATCCTTGGTACAGGTATGTTTTTTTTTTTCCATAAGAGCTCCATCCCCTACTCCCCCTCCCCTGCCCCTAATATGGCCAATAGCATTAAATTAAACATGTTAATGATGTATTTTCTGTGTAAGCCAGGATATGTCAGTGACAATTAAGGCCAAATCTTTATTGTGGAGAGCTACATTGTGTGTTGTTGGATATTTACCTGTGTCTCTGATCTATTCCTGACCTATTTCCCATTAAATGCTGGTAGTACACTCTCTTTCAATCTGACTACCATAAAGACCCTCAGAAATGACCCAGTAATACCTGGAAGATTTAATTGGCTCCAATTAAGAATCATTTGTGGCATAGTGAAGCAAGCCTTTAATCATTGAACTTGGGAGGCAGGAGAATTACAAGTTTGAGGCCCACTTGGCCTATATAGGAAATCCTCTCTGCAACAAACAACAACAAAATTTTCTTATACAATTTTTCCAGGGGCTGGGGAGATAACTTAGTTGGTAAAGTACTTGCCATGCAAGTATGGGACCCTGAGTTTTATCCCCAGTACACAGGTAAAAAGCTTGGTGTGGTTCATGAATGCTTGTAATTCCAGTGCTGAGCGTGCAGAGACCAGAGGATCACTGGGGATCACTGGGGATCATGGGGACTTGGTTGTCAGACAGCCTAGCTTAGACTTGGTGAGTACTAGGTCCTAGTAAGGTGGATGATGCCTGAGGAACGGCCAGGGTTGACCTCTGGTCTCTGTGTACATATGTGCACACATGCATGCACAAACAGTTGCATATATAAACAGACAGGTACACACACACACACACACACACACACACACACATATATATATATATACACAAATTGAAAGATCATTTTAATAGATTCTCTGAAAAAATCGTGTTTCCCCCCACCCCAAGAAACTTTAGTGCATACAAGGTACATGAATGCTGTTTCTTGCAGGACATAGAAAACATTATAGTGCTATAAAAAGAAAAATGAGATTTTAATTTAGAGTCAGGCATCCAATTTAATGTCATTTGATTGATGCATGTTTCTTTAAGTAATCATTGTGTGTTTATTGTATTTGAACATATAAATCTGACAGTCTAATGATATACCTCACTTTTGCATTGATTCAGGTTCTTTTTGTATTTTCTAATTAAAAACATCCTACTATTTGAGTTCGTCCACAGTGTGTTAAGACTAATTTAATACAACAGTTTATATGCTATATTTTTTCTGAAAGGTATGCAATTTTTTCACACTTGCTTATTCGTGAATGTGCTACACATACAGTGTAGAGGTCAGAGGACAACCTGCCTGGGTTGCTTCTCTCTTCCTACCTACCATGTGGGCTCCAGTGGCTTGTTCCCTCACCTACTGAGTGGCCTCACCAGCTCTATAATTTTTTTTTCTTTACATTTGATTATGTTTTAAATGTGGAGTATTTGTCACTTAAACAGTGGTACTGATGAAACCTTTTGTAAACTGAATTTTTTTCTAAAGACTTTCTAAATCTCCTTTCTTTCATTGCCAAATTGAGACTTTTCCGACATAAAATCTTGTTGTATTTCTAAAGCGCATATAAGTAATGCTATAATAGCTCCTCTGAGTTGGCAGTGGGAGGCATGGTTGACACATTTGTCTTTCATGTTCTGCTTAGAGATGTCACAGCTCCATCCTCAAGTTCAGGATCTGGCCATTATTCACATCAGTCTTTCTTGTCTTTAGTTAAAAAATATGCTGTACTTCCTATAAGGACGTTAAAATTTCAGGAAAATTAGCCGGGTGTAGTGGTGCATGCCTTCAATCTCAGCACTCAGAAGGCAAAGGTAGATCTCTGAGTTCAAGGCCAGCCTGGTGTATATAGTGAGTTCCAGGACAGCCAGGGCTATGTAGAGAAATCTTGTCTCAGAAAAAAACAAAACAAAACAAAAAAAGATTTCAGGACAATGAAAAGTACTTCTTCCTGTGAAATTTGTAAGAATTTCAGTTTAACAATGTTTGCAGGATGGGGATGGGATGTAGCTCAATGGTTGAGTCTTTGCCTAAAAGTGAATTTTCAGTTTAGTTTTCTTTGAGCACCCCCTCTTTTTGAGAATTACACTACTATATAAATATTTTAAACTAACTTAAAATTTTGTATCTTATTATTTCTCCATCATTGATAGTTTTGTTTTCTTTGAAGTTTATTTGGTGATGCTTAGAAAATGGTCTTAGTGTGCATATATACAAGGAAATAGTTAATAGCGATTAGGATTTGGAGCTAAAATCATGAGTGATTTGTTTTCTTTTTTTATCCATTCTCTCTGTTCTTCAACAAAATATATTGTTTGTAAGTGAAAAGAGAAAATAGCATAAATACGTTTTTTTTTAAAAAAGGAAAATTATTTTCTTGGTTTCAACAAGATGAAACTGTATTTCTCAGAACTTCTGAATTTTTGCTTTTCTCCTTAATTGAAGGGATGTGACAGATGATGAATCCTTTGTTGATGAACTGAGAATCACCTTACGATTTTTTGCATCTGTCTTAGTACGAAGAATTCACAAGGTATATATGATTATAATGAGAAATTTGGGACATTATCATGACAATCTTATTTTTTCTCCTATAGTATGCATATTTGTTCTTTTTTTGTTTCTTAGATTAAAAGTTGATTAATCACTATTGGTCCCTTGGTCAGTTTTGCTTCCTTTGATACTTGATTTTCTTGATTTGTGGAATTTAAAATGAAAAGACAACTGTAGAAAACAGTGTCATGTTTTATTTAAATGAATTTATGTGAATTGCAGTGATTAAGATCTACCTCCTAAAATATTTTTGAGTGATATTTTGTCTGTTTAGGTTTTGCATATATATGTATGTAGTTTGTTGGCTATAAACAGTACTTCTCTACTGCTTTGTCAGTTCACTGGGATTAAACATATAAACAATGTATAGAATGTAAATATATACTATTAATTAACAAAATAAAGTTTAACCATGTTAAATGTTTCTATATCCACTTGATTCAATGAGTTTACAAAAGAAAAATATAAAATGGCTTGCGAACAATTGGAAACGTGTTGTTGTACATCAAATATAAGTTGCAATGAGGTACTGTACTGTTCTTTTACCTGTCAAATTGGAAAGATGAGAAAAGAGATTAATATCCACTAATTCTGATTGTGGGGAAATAGGCAAGCATGTGAAATTCAAATTGGCATGCCTTCCAATTGACATGCCAACATGGATGGAGGAACATTTCACAAGGCCCCACCCCTAGATGAAGAGCTATACACAGTCAGTGGCTGCTGAGGCGTGGGAGAACCAGTTCTTCCTCCTTCTCCTCTTCCTCCTCCTCCTCCTCCTCCTCCTCTTTTCTTCTTCTTCCTCATCCTCCTTTTTCCTTCTTTTTTTTTCTTGTTTTTTTTTTTCCTTTTTTTTTTTCAGGGTCCAGACACCAATCCTAAGGGGTCATCCCTAAACACATGCAAATAAGGGGCAACACTAATTAGACTCCATAGGTGGTGTATGCATATGTACACACACACACACACACACACACACACACACACACACACACACACTCACAAATAAATACAGAAGAGGGTCTTGAGTGTGAGATGGTAGGGGGTAATCAGGAGTTGGAAGAGGGAGAGAAGGATACAAATACAGTCTATGTATGTATGTATGTATGTATGTATGAAATTCTCAAAAGAAAGTTAATATTGAATTGATGAAAAAAAGTTTGGAATAGTAAAATGATGAAAGTTCAATAGAATATTTTTGAAAAATCACTTGTTTATTGTTTGTATATTCTGGGTAACAGGTGAAGTTATTAAAAGAGAAATGAGTAAAAGTTGAATTCCACACATGCACAAATTGGTGTGTCCTTACTTGAGGGAAGTTTAGTATTAAAATAATACACATTTTTGTTAGCGCTAGAAATTGAACACAAGGCCTTGCTCATGCTAGCCATTTACTTTGCCATTAAGATCTATTCCCCAGTCGTTTATTTTTTGAGACAGGGCCTTGTTCTGGCATTCAGGCTGGCTTTGAACTTACATGTAACCTAAGGTGTGGCCTTAGACTTAAGATCCTTCTGCCTTTGCCTTCCAGATATTAGGATTACAGGTATGTGCCACCATGCCTGGCTGGGGTTGATAATCTTTTAAGACGTCTGGGTTTTTGTTACCATTTTTTTTTTAAAGACAGGGTTTTTCTATGTAGCCCTGGTTGTCATGGAACTAACTCTGTAGACCAGACTGTCCTCGAACTCACAGAGATCCGCCTGCCTCTGCCTCCCGAGTGCTGGGATTAAAGGCGTGTGCCACCACCGCCTAGCATGCACTCTATTTTTATAACAATTTTATTGATATATAACATATGTAATTCATCCATATAAAGCTTAGGATTCAGTGGCTTTTCACAGCCTATTCAGAGTTCTGCATATGTCACTCATATAATCAATTTCAGAATATGTTTGTTATCTGAAAAGAGGCCTTGTACCTGTTCACCATAATCTCCTATCTGCTCACCTAGCCAGCAATCATTTTGCTGCCTGTCTCGATGTCTCTGTGGATATTTGATGAAAATAGAATCTTTCATTTTGTTTTGTTTTTTTCTAGACAGGGTTTCTTTGTGTAGTTTTGGTACCTGTCCTGGATCTCACTTTGTAGACCAGGCTGGCCTCGAACTCAGAGATCTGCCTGCCTCTGCCTTCTGAGTGCTGGGATTAAAGGCGTGTGCCACCACTACCTGGCGAAAATAGAATCATTTGATACATGGCTTTTTGTGACTGATTTCATTCTCTTGGTATAGTGTTGTCTAGATTCATTTATATTGTCATATTGTAGCATATATCTGCACTTCAGTTTCATAATTTATTCATCATTTTCAGTTGATGGATATTGGGTTATTTTCAACTTAAGTCTCATGAAGATTTATATTTAGTAGTTGTATTTTTATTTGTCTTGAGTCTGTGTTTAAGAGTAGAATGAGCCGGGCGGTGGTGGCGCACGCCTTTAATCCCAGCACTCGGGAGGCAGAGCCAGGCGGATCTCTGTGAGTTCGAGGCCAGCCTGGTCTCCAAAGCGAGTTCCAGGAAAGGCGCAAAGCTACACAGAGAAACCCTGTCTCGAAAAACCAAAAAAAAACCAAAAAAAAAAAAAAAAAAAAAAAAAGAAGAGTAGAATGAATTGCTTGGTGAGATGAGACAGAAGCTCTTGGTTTCATCCGTTGTTTTCCGAAGTGGCTGCACATTTGCATTGCCACGCCTGTGTGTGAACATGCCCCTTTCACTCCCTTGTCAAAATTATCCTCACTCTCTTTTGTGATTTGCACTCTTTTTTAAGGCAGGTTCTCCCTAGATGTTCCAGGCTGGCCTTAGACTTGTAGATTTTAGCCTCTCCCTGCTGGGATAACTGGCATGCCCATCACACCCTCTTTATCACTGTTTCTGCTTATCTAGCCTGGGTGAGTGAACGCTTTGTGACTGGTTTGAATGTCCCCGATGCCAGGGATGCTGGGCATCCTTCCATTTGCTTATCTGCTGTTGCATCTCTTCTTTGAAGAAATATCCACTCAAATCTTGTGCCTCCTAGTGTTTAAATTTTTATTTTTTTATTTTTTTTTAATTTAATTTAATTTTATTTATTTATTTTTTTGGTTTTTTCGAGACAGGGTTTCTCTGTGTAGCTTTGCGCCTTTTCTTGGAACTCACTTGGTAGCCCAGGCTGGCCTGGAACTCACAGAGATCCACCTGGCTCTGCCTCCCGAGTGCTGGGATTGAAGGCGTGCGCCACCACCACCCGGCTTAAATTTTTATTTTAAGTAGACAGTTTAAAGTATATGTATTTTGTGATACAAATGATGTTAGGGTATGTCAGTACAGTGTGGAATAACTAAGACAAGCTAGTTAACATGTCCACAATCTCAGATACTTAACTTTTTTCTTTTCCTTTCCTTTTCTTTTTTTTTTTTTGTGGTGAGAGCAGTTTTGAAATGTGCAGTCTCTGTTATTAATTATATCCCACTTCACTCTTCTTAGATCTAGCCCTTTTCAGCTTTGTTCTAGTATTATAAAAGTGTTCTTGCCGGGCGGTGGTGGCGCACGCCTTTAATCCCAGCACTCGGGAGGTAGAGCCAGGTGGATCTCTGTGAGTTCGAGGCCAGCCTGGACTACCAAGTGAGTTCCAGGAAAGGCGCAAAGCTACACAGAGAAACCCTGTCTCGAAAAACAAAAAAACAAAAAAAAAAAGCATTCTTACCATTTCAACTTAGTAATTATTTTTAAGTTTTATTTATTTTTTTGTTCATTTTTCTAGGTGGATATTCCATCTATTATAACCAAGAAACTATTAAAAGCGGCAATGAAACATATAGAAGTGATTGTTAAAGCGAGACAGAAAGGTAATCCAGCTCTATGTAGTTTGAGTGATTTTGTTTATGCATCAGCTTCCATTTAAAAGTATATGAGTGCTGGCACCCTTACTACTGCTCTTCACAGATGCTTTAAGAATGGCCTTATTAAAAAAAAAAAAAAATCAGGGGTTTGCAGATTTAGCTCAGTGGGTAGAGCCCTTGCCTAGCAAGTGCAAGGCCCTGGGTTCGGTCCTCAGCCCCGAAAAAAACAAAACAAAACAAAAAAACCCAACCAGTTTGAATGATGGTCTGCTCTTGTCGCTCGTGTTTCTTTCCTGCTTCTATGACTTTGGCAGTTTCAGACTATTCTTCTCATCCTCCATATGACTACTGTGTATCCTGTTTGTTTCTCCATATCATAGTTCTTCTGTTAATTTATTTTATGTGTATTGGTGTGAAGGTGTCAGATCCCTGGGACTGGAGTTATAGACAGCTGTGAGCTGTCATGTGGGTGCTGGGAATTGAACCCGGGTCCTCTGGAAGAGCAGCTAGTGCTCTTAACCTCTGAAACGACTCTGCTTTGGCATCTGTAGGCCTTTTGCTGATGTGATTTACACCAAGCCTGTGTTAAATAAGTGTTTTCTGATTGAATGAAGGAAATCTTGAATAAGGACTTTTCTTGCTCTAAAATCAAATTTAAAATGTCCCCTTTAACAGTTTGCACTTGCTTCTGTGTGAGACTTAGATTTTTCCATATTTAGTATTCTTCATCAGTGCTTTCTGAAATGCATTATGCAGAGCAGAATGCCATTCTGCATAGGTGGCTATATAAAAACAGATATTGTGATCATATTTTTTGGTATTACTATTTGTATTCACTTCTAAAAATTCCCTGTAAGCAAAAGCTCTGAATAATCCTACAGTGGAGAAACAGTGTGACCTTATTTGAACATGGAGCCACTTTTCCATCCCTCATAATCTCAATTAATAGAACTAGTACACATTTTGGGAAATTGTGCTGCAATTAGATTTGAGATTAAATTAAATAAAGCTATTAGTTTACTATTTAAAATTGTTTTGTGTCTTTTCATCAGGTAAGAATTTTACACTTGGGAGCTGGGTGTGGTGGTGTACACTTTTAATTCTAGCATCTGGAAGGTAGTGGCAGGGAGAATCTCTGTGAGTTTGAAGCCAGTCTGGTCTACATAGGCAGCCAGGGGCTACAGAGTGAAACACTGTCTCAAAACAACAACAACAAAAAGAATTTTACCTTTGGCCTGGAGAGGTGGCTGAGTAATTAAGAGCATGTATTTTTTTTTTTTTTTTTTTTTTTTGTAGAGGACCCAAGTTAAGTTCTCAGTACCCATGTCAGGTGGCTTACCACCTGTAATCTAGTTCCAGGGACTCCAAGGTCCTCTTCTGGACTCTGCAGGCACCTACAGTACACCTACATTCATGTGTACATACTCACAAGCACATACATACACACATAATTAAAAAGTAATAGCCAGATATGGTAGCACACACCTTTAATCCCAGCGCTTGGGAGACAGAGGCAGGTGGATCTCTGTGAGTTGAAGACAGCCTGGTCTACAAAGCCAGCTTCAGAACAGCCAGAGCTCTTACACAGAGAAACCCTGCCTCAAAAACCAAAAATAATAAAAATAAAATTGTTTTTTAAAAAGAATTTTACCAGGAGAGGTGGCTCAGTGGTTAATAACATTGGCTGCTCTTCCAGAGAAATCAGGTTCAATCCCAAGCACCCACATGTACACATGGCCATCTGTAACTTCAGTCCCAGGGCATTCAGTGCACTCTTCTGGCATTTGTGGGTACCAGGCACATAAAGTAAAAATAATTTTATCTTTAAAACATTCTTTAAATGAACGAGTTTAAAAGATTTTACATCTATATAACCTACTAATTTGTTTATTTAGTTGGTTTATTTTGAGATAGGGTCTCCTATTGCTCAGACTGGCTTTGAACTTGATATGTAACCAAGGCTGTTGACTTCTGATTCTCTTGCCTTTACCTCCCATGCACTGTGGATATACCATGCCTGACTAAATAGTACATCAAAACACTTGTCTTGTCACTGGCAAAAAAAATACACAAGAGGGAACATCTTTGTAGCAGTTTTGTAAAGAACACTTTACTGTCAGGAAGAGTAGGAAAAAATATCAATAGGCTTGACTTTTTTATTTTTATTTTTTGGTTTTTCAAGACAGGGTTTCTCTGTGTAGTTTTGGTGCCTGTCCTGGATCTCGCTCTGTAGACCAGGCTGGCCTCGAACTCACAGAGATCCATCTGGCTCTGCCTCCCGAGTGCTAGTATTAAAGGCATACGCCACTACCGCCTGGCCTACGCTTGACTTTTTGATAGTGTCATATAGTTGGAATCACACATCTGTTTCAGGCTGATTTTTTTTTTTATTAGCAACAAATAGTTAAGGCTTTCCTTTGTCTTTTCAAAGGTGTGATAACTCATTTCTTTTGGTTATTCAATTATACCTCTTATATCCTGTGATCTGGCTAAAAATACAAAACCTCCCGAAGAAGCCACTTTCTCCCATACTCTTAGTGGCTGTCTGGATGATATTGATATAAAAGCAGCAAAGAATTCTGAATTTGGTAATTTTTCTTGTCACAGAAAATGAACAAGATAGTTGAAAATTAAACTCTTGTGTATACTAGGACACATTTTCTATAGTTTCCCCCCATTTAAGTCATTTGCTAGTATATTATGTAGAAATCATGAGTTTAAATTGTTATTTGCTCAGGGAAATAGACTCAGAAAATTAATTTATTGCAAAGTAAGTGTCTTAGTCAGTGTTTTATCACTGTGAAGAGACACCAGGATTAACACAATTTTTTTTTTTATTGTTGTTGTTTTTTGAAACAGGGTTTCTCTGTGTAGCTTTGCACCTGTCCTGGAACTCACTCCATAGCCCAGGCTGGACTCCAACTCACAGAGATCTGCCTGCCTCTGCCTCTTGAGTGCTGGGATTAAAGGCGTGCGCCACCACCTCCCGGCCATCACAATTCTTATAAAGGAAAGCATTTAATTTGGGCTGGCTTACAGTTCCATTATCGTTATGGCAGGAAGCATTGTGGCACACAGACAGACATGGTGCTGGGGAGGTAACTGAGAGTTTTACTTCCGGATGGGCAGGCAGCAGGAAAAAAGAGAGACTGTGGGCCTGGCTTTAGTATTTGAAACCCCAAAGTCCACTGTGGTGATATATTGTGTACCCTAATAAAATTTGTCTGAAGATCAGAGAACAGAACAAGCCACTAGATTAAACATAGATGCTAGGCAGTGGTGGCACACATCTTTAATCCTAGCACTCGGGAGGCAGAGATCCATCTGAATCTCTGTGAATTCAAAGCCACCCTGGACTATATGAGATTGATTCAGACTAGGAGAGAAACAGAGCCAGACAGTGGTGGCACACACCTTTAATCCCAGTACTGGGAAGCACACATGCCTTTAATCCCAGGAAGTGATGGCTGGGTGGAGAAAGGTATATAAGGCGTGAGGAGACAGGAACTAAAGGCTTTTCAGCAGAAGTGTCCCTTTCAGCTAGAAGCCCTTTTGGCTGGAGCTCTTCAGGCTGAGGAGTCCTAAAGGTAAAAGGTGGCTTGTTCCTTTGTCTTTCTGATCTTTCAGCATTTACCCCAATATCTGGCTCTAGGATTCTTTATTAAAAAGACCATTTAGAAATTTGAGCAACAGCCCACCCCCAGTGACACACTTCCTCCAGCAAGGCCACACCTACTCCAAACAAGGCCACACCTCCTAGTCCCTGTCAAGTATGCCATTCCCTAATGACTAAGCATTGGAAACTATGAACCTGTGGGGGTGGATTTCTGTTTCAACCACCACAGTAAGTAAGTTCACAGCAAAGGAGAAAATCTCCCTTTATGCCCTATTTCTGTAAAGTTTCCCCTTATATTCAGAGAGCAGGGCTAGGAGAGGAATGAGGTAATAGAAATGAAGTAATTTAATATATCCTAACTCATTCAGTAGTTTTTATTGTTATTTGCAGTAAAAAACACGGAGTATTTACAACAAGCTGCATTAGAAGAATATGGTCCAGAGCTTCATGTGGCTTTGAGAAGTCGAAGAGATGAATTACAGTATTTAAGGAAACTTACTGAGTTACTTTTTCCTTATATTTTGCCTCCTAAAGCAACTGACTGCAGGTATAAATGCACTAGAAAATATCATAGTAGTATTTGTGTGTGTATGTATATATATATATTATATCTATATAATATATACATTAACATGTTATATGTATATATTGCTATGTTTTATTATAATAGGACTTCACTAAAACTTGGTATGAATTTATGGTATGAATAGTTTCTCACTTGAGAATAATTGGTCAGATTTTAAAATGCCAGTTTAGGTGCTGAGTATTTGAAGTGTGTTGTGTGGCCTTAGAATTTGTTATTAAAAACTTATTTTTAGAAATAAGTACAAGTAATATTAATTTTATTTGAAATCCTGCTTTATTTTCTTGATGTTTCTTTTCTTTTATTTATTTATTTATTTTATTTTATTTTATTTTTTTTGTCAGAGCTGAGGACCGAACCCAGGGCCTTGCGCTTGCTAGGCAAGCGCTCTACCACTGAGCTAAATCCCCAACCCCTGATGTTTCTTTTAAAAGATAGGCACACTATGATTCTTACAGCCAGAAGCACTTTGAGCAGACTCTGCAGCTAAGTTTGGGGTTTAAGCTGTCTGGCTGGAAAGAATAACTAGGTGTCCTGTCCTCCATTCTCTCCTCTTCTGGTAGAAGTATATTTAGATTTTCCCCATGCGTTACTTCATTGCCCTTACCTTGAGAATCCTTTTTTTTGTTTTTGTTTTTCGAGACAGTTTCTTTGTGTAGCCCTGGCTGTTCTGGAACTTGCTCTGTAGACCAGGCTGGTCTCGAACTCACAGGGATCTGCCTGCCTCTGCCTCTTGAGTGCTGCCTGATAGTTCTTAGAGGGAAAAACTGTGGCTTATTCTTTCGTCCCCTCCTTCCCTCAGTTCTGTTCCACCCCTTTTCTGTTTCTTTCCATCTATTGAGACAGAACCACACTATGGAGTGTCCCTTGCCTGCTTTTTGCCTCCCAGTGTTAGGACTGTAGGTATGTGCCACCTGGCCCAGCTCAGTGGTATACCTGAAAATGCGTATCCATTAAATGATGTATAAGTACATGTTGGTAGAGTATTTTAACACTTTGATTAAGCTGTCTTTAGCTGGATGTGCCCTGTAATCTCAGCACTGTAGGTGCCTGAAGCTGGAGGAGAGGGTGCAAACTTGAAAATGCATGCTGGGCATCATACTAAGCTCCTCCATCTTAAGAAATCTTGAGTCTAATTTGTATTACTAATGAAAATATTCTCAGTCCTAGGGAGCATACTATTGAACATACTGCTCACAAACGATATTGTGCTGTGTGTTGTTGGAGATCAAATCCAGGACCTTGTACATTCTAGTCAGCTCTCAACTATGTCTCCAGCCTGTAAACATGAATTTATAAATATATTAAAGATTCTAGAAGGAACAGTGTTCTGATGTCTCCCTAGTCCTTCTTGTAAGAAAGTACTCATTTCTTTTAAACAATAGTCACTTTTAACAAATCTGCCGCATAAACATCACCTGGCACTTGCTGGAAATGCAGAGTCCAATGACCCATCCCCATCCTTTTTTGAATTTTAATCTGATATTTTTGGTTGATTGGGTAGGTGGGTGGGGGAGGATACTGAGGAATCCTGTCAGACAAGCCCCCTTCCACTGAACTACATTCTTAGCCCCATCATTTTATTTGAGACAGGGTTTCACAGTATAGCCCTGTAGCTAGCCTGGAAGTCACTATACAGATCAGGCTAGTTTAAATTCAGAGATCTAATTGCCTCTGCCTTCCCAGTGCTAGGATGAAAGGCATGGGACACCATGTCCAGCTCCATAATTTCACTTTAATAGGGTCTTTAGTTATAGTTCAGAGGTGCTTGAAGATGAGAAACTAATGTAAATAACTAAATACAGAATTATTACTATTTCCAGGTCCCTGACTTTACTTATAAGAGAGATTCTATCTGGTTCTGTATTTCTTCCTTCTTTGGATTTCCTCGCTGATCCAGTAAGATTTAAAATTTTTATTTTAATTATAAAATATACTTGAATCACTATTTAACTATTTTATGTGTATAATACATTGTTATGAAATGTGTACTTATTTGAGCAGCTGTCAACATCACTTTCCAAAACTTTGGTCTTAACAAAAACCAAAACCCTATAAATTCTATACCCATAAAGAGTAATTCCTTATTCCCCCTTGAGTCCTTGGCAATTGTATAACATGTTTTAGAATTCTTTTCTTTTTCAGTTCTCAATAATAATCTATTACATGTATGTGTCACATTTTGCTCATTTATCCATTGATGTATACTTGGACAATTCTGACTTAGGCTCAGTTTGATTTTTGAAAAACAGGTATAATTTAAATGGCAAAGCATATTGCTCTTTGCTCTTGTTTAGACAGTTAAGAATTTCTTACTATAGTTCTTTAGGAGTTCCTCTGTAATATGTATGTACATAAGTTTAGCCTGTGCTGTTCATTTTTCTAGCAAACTTGATAATGTGAAAGTTCTCAGAATTCTTGGCAGAACTTGACAATGAAATTATTTTGACCTGTGTTTATTGCTTTTTATTAGGATACTGTCAATCACTTGCTTATCATCTTCATAGATGACAGTCCTGTGAGTATTGAACATATTGCAACACTTGTAACTGCATTCAATTTTGACTGTGTATGCCAACTCCAGTGTGGATTTTACTGAGCTGATAATTCTGTTTCTTCAAAGCCTGAAAAAGCGACTGAACCAGCTTCTCCTTTGGTTCCATTCTTGCAGAAATTTGCAGAACCTAGAAATAAAAAACCATCTGTGAGTATTTTCAGCACTAACGTTTTTGAGATAAAAGTTTTAAAATACATTTACATATCTTTAACTTACTCTTCCTCTCATATTGTGACAAGGTGCTGAAGTTAGAATTGAAGCAAATCAGAGAACAACAAGATCTTTTATTTCGGTTTATGAACTTTCTGAAACAAGAAGGAGCCGTGCACGTCCTGCAGTTTTGTCTGACTGTTGGTGAGGCTTCATTTGCATTTTACTAGTGTCTTTTTCATGCTTGTTAATGCTTTGGTTATTTAGGGCAGATCTGATGTCCCCAGCCTAAATTTCACCTGCTAGATACTCTAAGAGTGACTGAATTTCTCTCAGGTGTCTACCCCTTTCCAGGTGGGGCATGATCTTATCTTTGGCTGCAGTCAAATCCTATAGCAGAAAAGAATTACTAAAAATCTAACATAGTGATATGTGTGAGAGATCACACTAACAGTTCAAATCAGTACCACCTTGTCTTCATTTTGTTCAGAATATCAAACTGTAATGTCACGGGTCATTGGATTTGTGAGAAACTTTATGAGCTCTTGTAGACGAATTTTCCTTTGGGCTCCCAGCTCACAAAAAAATGGCACAGAGACATTATGAATTATGAAAGCTTGGCCTTTAGTTTAGGCTTGTCCCAATAGCTCTTATAACTTAAATTAACCCATTTATATTAATCTATGTTTTGCTTCGTGGCTTCTTACCTCTCTTCCATCTTGTACCTCCTGTTTCCTCTTTGTGTCCCCTGGCATCTCTCCCGTACCTCGATTTATCTCCTCTCCTTCTCTCTCTACCCAGAAGTCCCGCCTAACCTCTTCTTGCCTAGCTATTGGCCATTCAGCTCTTTATTAAGCTAATCAGAAGGCACCTTTTGGCAAAGGCACATCTTCACAGAGTACAAAAGGATTATTCTACAACAAGCTGTATTTTTATTATTATTTAGTGAGTCATCATATTTTAAAATATTTAAAGACCTTTAGTATAAGAAACTAATCCAATATGTTTTTTAGAGAAAATCTTACAAATATACTTACTATTCTGTTGTTGCAAATTTGTATTGCTATTTATACATTGACATATTTTATATTAACATAAAAATCTTGACTTAGTCTTTCATCTGAGTATTCTACTCTCAAGTGTTTTTTAAAAGCTTAAATTAATTAATTTGATTGTATTTGCTGGTTTTAGTTAGAATAAGAATATGAAGTTTTCATGAAAGCATTTATAATAAAGTAACTTTTTTCTTAATCTTTCTTTGATTTGTTAGAGGAATTTAATGATAGAATTTTGCGACCAGAGTTATCAAATGATGAAATGCTATCTCTACATGAGGAATTGCAGAAGATTTATAAAACATATTGCTTGGATGAAAGTATTGACAAAATTAGATTTGATCCCTTCATTGTAGAAGAGATTCAAAGAAGTAAGTAAAAAAATGACAGAGTGGATATTCTAGATCTTTCCAGTTTGCTGTTTTCTTCATGTATTTTTTTCCATTTTTGTTTGTTTATTTGTTTGGTTGGTTGGTTTTTTTGAGACAGGGTTTCTCTGTGTAGTTTTGGTGCCTGTCCTGGATAACTCTGTAGACCCGGCTGGCCTCAAACTCACAGAGATCCGCCTGCCTCTGCCTCCCGAGTGCTAAGATTAAAGACGTGTGCCACCACTGCCTGGCATTTTTTTCTATTCTTAAAAAAGATGTATTTATACATTTACTTATTTGAGGGAAGTTTCTCTCACTATGTATATCCCTGGCTAGCCTGGAACTTGCTTTACATACCAAGTTGGCCTCTATTTCGCTGGTGCTGGGATTAAAAGCCTAGGTCCACACCTGGTCCTTTTTATTATTTTCGTGTGTGTGTGTGTGTGTGCGTGTGTGTGCGAGAACAGGTGCCCTTGGAGGGCAGAGGCTTCAGTTCCCTCTGGCACTTGAGTCACAGGTTGTTGTGAGCTACCCAACGAGGGTTCTGGGAACTGAACTCCAGTCCTGTGCAAGAGCAGTATGTACTCTTCGTGTATTCTTTACTTAGTCTAACAGCTATAGAAGCTATATGGGCAGCTTAAGTTGCTATTTTTCTTTAAATACTAGAGATCTTTTATTAGCTTTCTTAGTTTAAAGAATTCTGTTTTTCCATACTTATTTCACTGATAAGATGAAAGCTTTGAGAAGAGGAGTGTTGGCTATTTGCATAACTGAGGCAGGCCTGGAGGTGCAGGTCTGTAATCCTAGCACTTGGAGATGGAGGCAGGAAGATCAGTTTCTGGGACAGCCTGTACTACAAGTTCCACTATTGTCTGGCTGCCTAGTAAGATCCTGTCATTTAAAAAAACTCATAAAACAAAACAACTCATGTAACTAATGTTTGTCAGCACCGGAGGTAGGTTATTCTCATCTCTCATTCTAGTAAGATTTCTTCTGGTGGTGTTTCTATAAAACATAATTTGTACATTTGTTTTACTAATGGATTTTAAATGAATATATTGCATTTCTGTTATTCAGAAATAATTTGTACAATTAATTTTTTTTGAATAGTTGCTGAAGGCCCATACATAGATGTTGTGAAACTGCAAACCATGAGATGTCTTTTTGAAGCATATGAACATGTTCTTTCCCTCTTGGAGAATGTGTTTACCCCTATGTTCTGCCACAGTGATGAGGTAAGTCAGGCTTTCAATAGAGGACTTTCTATACTTCATAGTGGCTCTGATAGCATTAGATAAGTAATCATTAAGTAGCAAAATTAAAACAAAATGAAGTAAGGTAAACAGGTATATTTCAATGTCAAATACTGGTTTAGTTAATCCTAATTTGTATTTATTGTTTTGAAGTATTTCAGGCAACTTTTAAGAGGTGCAGAATCGCCAACACGCAATTCCAAGTTCAACAGGTAGGCATACTTAACTCTGGGTGTCTACTGATTTTGACTTGCTGTTGCTGATCATTCTGTGATAGCATTATAGTCTTTATCAACTGTTTTTCTGAATGAAATCCACCTGCTAGAGAAATGTAAGTCAAAGGCTTCAGCTTCAGTGGGGGAAGCTTTCTTTGCCTTTTTAAGAGCATCCGATATCTTTAGCACATCCTTATCTAGTTTTAAAATATAAAAACGGCAGGATGAAAATACAGATACTAATACAGCCATTTAAAGTATGTTGGGTTTTTTTTTTTTTATATTCACCCGACTTTAATGTTAACTATCACACTTAAGAAGACTCCTTCTGTGATACTTACAGATTCATTTACCTAAATAGAATCAGTAGAAGAGTTTGCTAATATTCTTAATTTGAAAATTTAGAGTGGCCTGGAAAAGTTGCTGTTAAATGACTTACAGTATAAAAAGTAATCTTTAATTTTTTGGTTTGTTTACTTGTATTTTAAAAGTAAAACTGTAGTGCACATAGCTAATTCTGACCTACTTTATTATGTATTCAAAGCATAACTCTAGGAATATTTTGTTTACTTTTTAGCTTCAAGTATTCTTTAAAAAGTTGTGGGTTTTTGTTTATTTGTTTGGGATTGAATCCAGGGCATCATAAATATTAGGCAACAATATTACCACTGACATCCTTAGCCCCCAGACATTTTGTGGTTTATATGAGATAGGAGCTCACTGCATAGTCTAGGCTAGCCTCAAACTTGTGACAGTGCTAGGATTATAGGTGTAGGTATGAGACAGCATGCTTGGAAAAGCACTCTTTTTTACTTCCGCCTAAATAAAGGTATGTTAAGAAGCATGTATGAGTACATCTAACATAGACACCATTCTGCATTAAAGAATCTGAGCTGCCGTTTGCTAGCTTAGTCTTTACATATTTTCTGCTGTGTCAAATGGGATGCCTAAGGAGAAGAAAATGATGAGTTATTTCCTGACATAGTGTTTTCAAGATCATTAGTAATCTAGATCACATACACCCAAACAGCCATGCACTGTTCTTTCTCACCTACATTGTGTTATTCATAGGATTTCTTCCTTTTGCAAGGGTGGATGCTATCCACTTGTATAACTTTTAAGCTTTTTAAATTTGATTTTATATTCTAAAGTGAAACCTATTTAATATCTGGGCTTTCTCTCTCTCCTCCTCATATAATCTCACATATCTGATATTGCAGAGGTAGCCTAAGTTTGGATGATTTCCGGTAAGTCTTGAGCATGTGATTTTTTTTTTTTCAGTATAAATTATCTGTTTTAATATAGAAAGTTTTACCCCAAGCAACCTAGGTGCATCTAAAAAGGAAAAATATGAATCACTGTGTTGTCCCTGCCTTTATATAAATTATTTAGGATAAATTTTTAAAGTGGATCTCTACTTTGGTTCTAGAAATATTTTTGAAATAACATAATTATAAAGTAAAATGGCCTAATATTATTAAGATATTTTATTATTTAATTACCAGTATCTTACTTTTCAAAGTTGTTGACTCCCTTTGGGGGTAAGGAGGGTTGCTGATTTTGCTGAACAATTTTTGTAATTATTTGGGTTTAAAGACTTGTGGGTTTTATTTTTTCTCTTCCTGCCCCAAATAAATATAATGATGTTTCTGTGGATCTAGTCATAACCACAAATTAGACCTTTAAAAATATGTCACAGTTCAAAACCTGTATTGTTTTATAATCTCTAGAGCCTGGAATAGCCTGCCTAGGGTCTAGAAATTTTAGTATTTTTTTCGCCATTTACATTTTCATATGGCAATAGTCCTGTCATCAGAGCTCACAATGTCTAAAACTGTTATTTTTTAAAACACTTAACTGCACGCTTCTTTAGAGAAAAGTAGTCTAGTTTGCTTCTAGTACTGTTCACTACTAACTAATAGTTTTCTAGCTTTAAGATAAGTTTGGTTTGTTCCAAAGACAATGCATGAAATAATCTTGTCACAGTAAACATGGTACATTTGAAACTTGATCAGTGTTCTTTGATCTCTCTAATATCAAATGTAGTGGATACATTGTGCTTATAGGAATAATAGCTTCCATTGAGTTGAGTATTCTAAACAAATGGGCAGATTTAACAGCAGTCTCTGTAGTTGGGTCTCTGGTGGTACTATGCATGTTTTAAGTTAGATACAATTTATAATTTGCTTTCCTGAAATGTGGAACATTTGGCTCTAATGGATCATTTTTTGCTGCTTTTAGGTTTTTTTCCCCCTTTTTTCTTTCTAGCTATTTCTGCTTTTGGAAATTCACTTTTGAAAATATTGTAGAAATAGTATTTCATGTTTATGGCAGAGCTAGTTGCTTCCTTGGAGCTATGCCTGCTTTTCCTTCCATCATTGCTAGCCTTTCCCTCTTTTTTTGGTGTGAGTGCTCTATCCGTATGTATGCCTGCAGGCCAGAAGAGGGCATCAGATCCCATTACAGATGGCTGTGAGCCACCATGTGGGTGCTGGGAATTGAACTCAGGACCTCTGGAAAAGCAGCCTGTGCACTGAGGCATCTCTTCAGCCCTCGTCTTTTTTTTTTTTTTTTTTTTTTTTAATTTGTGTTACTTTGAAGTTAAGTACATTTGTTTTATACCTAATTCCTTCTGGAATCCCAGATTATAAAATTGAACTTAGTTGAGCATTTGCCATAGAGGTAAATTGTTTTTCATTAAGTTTCATCTAAAAAATGTAATGAGAAGATCATAGTTTTATATTTTTATGTTGCATTCTTATTTTAGTGATTCAGTTCTTCTAAATCAGTGGTTCTCAACCTGCCTAATGCTGTGATCCTTTAATACACTTCTCATGTTGTAGTGACCCCCAACCATAAAATGTTTTCATTGCTACTTCATAAGTGTAATTTTGCTACTGTTATGAATCATAATGTAAACATCTGATAGGCTACTCCAAAAGGGTCATGACCTACAGGTTGAGAATCATTATTCTAAATGGACGTACAGTTTTTAAAAAATTGTTTGGCAGGTTCATACATGTGTATGTTTTGACAAAATTCTTGTGGCAATGAGAACTATATACCACTAGGGGGCTATCATTCTTTCAAAACTTTTAGTTCAGTTAATGTTTTGAAGTTAGCATTAACTACATTTCAAATGTTAGTTAGTAAATTTTATCTCATTCAAACAAAGAATTTAAATGTTCTGACAATTTTGGCTTCTGGATGTTGAGACTTAATGACTGAAAACTCCAAACACTGTTTATCTTTCTCTAATTTACCATTTCAAAGCTAATTTGCTTTTTCTTTGCTATTGTGTATAGTATAGTAGATGCCAATGATTTACTATGTACCTGATGTGTTTTTGTTTAATATTTAGAAGCACACAAAAAAGAGGAGAATCATTTGGAATCAGCAGAATAGGTAGCAAAATTAAAGGAGTATTCAAGAGTACTACAATGGAGGGAGCTATGTTGCCCAATTATGGTTTGGCTGAAGGTGAAGATGACTTTGTAAGTGAAAATTCTTTAATTAAAAAAAATTCAACTTGCTATATCTACAGTTTCGTGCTTAATGTAGCATTAAATGTGGGGTGACTTATTTTCCCTTTCTTTCAGACTTCCTTTATATATAAATGTTAATTTTTTTTATTAGTTTTGTAGTTTCATTGTACTTATCCCATTACAATTTTTTTCTTAGACCCGAGTTATCATTAAGGAAAATAAGCCTAGGCATTTCTGGTAGTCAAACAGTTTACTACTTTTTGTGTGTGCTTGTGTATGTATGTTTGTATGTGTGCAGGTGTGTGTGTGTGTGCACATGTATGTGGAGGCCAGAGGACTAAGTAAGGTACCATTCATCTGGCATGATGTGCCTCTTTTTTTTTTTCTTTTCAGAGAGAGAATGTGTGTACATGTGAAATTCAGGGGACAACTTGGAAGGAGTCAGTTCTCTCCTTCTACCGTGTAGGCCCTGGGGATTGAACTAGGTCACTAGGCTTAGCAGCAAGCACCTTTACTTACTAAGGCATCTTGCTGACCTTATTTATTTATTTATGTATTGAGAGAGCGTTTCTCACTGGCTTAGAGCTCAAGTACGTTAGGCTAGCATGCCATTGAGAGCCAAGGACCTGCCAATGTCTACCTCCTTGGTGTGGGAACTACTATGGGGTCTACTGCACTACTGTGCACAGCTTTTTTTTTTTTTTTAACAGGGTCTATTAGCTGGGAATAGTGGTACATACATTTAATCCAAGTACTTGCAAGGCAGAGGCTGGCAGATCTCTGAGTCTACATAGTGAGTTCCAGGACAGCTAGAGATACATAGTGAGACCCTGCTTCAAACCAAACCAAAACCAAACAAGTAGATAAATAAATCAGGTTTTGTCTCACTATGTAGCCCTGGCTTGCCTGGGGCTCACTATGTAAAGCCAGGCTGATATTGCCTCAGTCTCCTGAATGCTGGGCTTAAAAGCATACGCCACCACATCCAGCTCATAGCTTTTCCATGTCTGTTCTGAAGATTTAACTTGATCCTTTTTGTTGGCAAGGCAAGCAGTTTATGGAATGAGTCATCTTCCTAGCCCTATATCATCTTTTCATTGGGCTTTTGTTTCAATCCTGATGTTATCTCTTTCCAACCATATGCTTCAGGAGTGTTTGTGTTATTGGAAGCCTCAATTCCCATTGCTTAGACTGTGGAACTTATCCATGTAGGCTCTCAGGCCTCATGCTAGACCTGTTTGGTAAGATTCCTTATTTGTGTGTATGTGCATTTTGCTCACCATGCTATTGGGCCTTTCTGTGCCTTTGCACATGCAGTCCTACTTGATGGTCCTTTCCTTCTGTTCTTTACACAGACAACTTCACATTTATCTTTTAAATTTGCTTTATGTCCATTAACCTTTACATGAACTACCAATAGACCTGAGTCTTTTCTCACCATTTATTTATTTATTTTTAAATTTTCTCACTTTGTGACCTTGCTACTGTTACTATTATTATTACTTTGAATTTTGATATTATTATTTTGAATAATACATGGTAATTTTCCATATGGTATGTAGTATAATACGGTATAGAGTATAGTAAATAAATATGTATATATGATCCATATATGCAATGAATAACGATGAGGTCAGGGTAGTTGGTAGATCTAACTCCTACTTATCGTTTTTAATTTTGGAAACATTCACAGTGTTCTCTCCTGGTTATTTGAAGTAGTTGTTAGTGAGCGTAGTCATCTTGTTTCTAAAGAGCACAAGTGCTAAGGACGATGCTACCAGCGTTTGGAAGACACCGAGCAGGTTGTACTGCTGCTTTATCACAGCCCATACTAATACCGTGCCAGTTAGGAGCTGTGGGACCTTGAGAATTGTTTTCTAGGAATTGACAATCTCCCTGGTGTGTGATTTGAAAAGTTGAAATGATATTTGGCAGTGGTTCCTACTTGCTATGTGAGTTTAGGCAAATTGCCCGATTTTATTGTGATTTCCTTCCCTTACAGAGTGAAATCGGGACCATGCTATCTGTTGTACATGGGGTATAATTAGGAGAGTTAAAGAAGCAGTCTGCCTGAAGCACTAAGAACGATGCCTGGTGTATAGTAAGCACTTTGCACACTGTATAGCACAGTACCATCAGGGCTCATAGCTCTGTGGATACAAGAGATAGGGTCACATCACTGTGGTAACTGGCTCAGGGATGAAAACCTGGTGTATAAGATTATGACTCTCTGAGGCAGGAGAATCATGTGTTCAAGGCCAGCCAGAGCTGAAATGAGACCTTATCTCAAAAAGCATCTGAAAATATGCTTCTGTTCAAGTTCAGAGCTAATTTACAAATAAATTTCTGGAACCTAATATGCCCATTAATAAGTTGACAGTTAAGTACATATAGGAAAGGTAAACATAGGAAACATTATTATTTCTTAAGTAAGTAGAGAACCTCAGCTAGCCTTTTCTCCCTGTCTTCCTTATTCCCCACACCCTTCTTAGAGGGAATCTTTTTTAAAATAAAACAAAAATTACTTAGTTTACTTTATTAACATTTGCTTGAGTATGGTGGTCCCCACCTGAAATCTCGGCGTCTACAAAGCTGAAGCAGGAGGATGTTCAGTTCAAAGCCAGTGTGGGCTGTATAGCAAGAGACTCTGTCTCAAAAAGCAAATACATAAATAAGATGATATGTTATTTATAGTAATTGTCTCCTTTAACGTGACTAAGAGATGTCTAGGTGCCCAGAGACTCAGAAGGATTTAAAAGAACTATGCTTATAGATGATCATTTTTTTTAAAAGAATTATTTTGTTTTTAGATATTAAATGAAATTATAGATGTTTATGATTTTAGAAGCAAAGAGGTAAGAAATCTAAATTTACCAGGTATGGTGGCACATGCCTTTAATCCCAGCACATAGGAGGCAGAGTCAGGTGTATCTGTGTGAGTTCAAGATCATCCTGGTCTACAGGCCAGTTGCAGGACAGCCAGGGTCTCTCCACACAGAAAAACCCAATCTCAAAACAAACAAAAGTCTAATTCTATAGAAGTAGATCCTTTTTAGATCTTCTTTTGAATTGTACATTCTTTATGCTACTGTGAATATATTTAGACTACCTTTTCAGTTTAAAAAAATTAGTTGAAGTAAGAATGTTTTCAGTCTTATTCAAGACTGTTTAATGACTCATTGTAGAAATATATTGCCAAGTTCAGAAAGACTATGCTGATATGTGCCACAGATCCAGCTTATTTGTGTCAACTACATCAATGGCGGTGATGCCATTTATGAAAATTTATACTCTGAAAATGAAAGATATGAGCATAATAATTTTTATTAACCAAGGTTGAACTTTTAAAAAATTTTCTTTTAATGTGCATTGGTGTTTTGCTATGGGTGTCAGGTCGCCTGGAACTGGAATTACTGACAGTTGTGAGCTGCCATGTGGGTGCTGGGATCCTCTGGAAGAGCAGCCATTGCTCTTAACCACTGAGCCATCTCTCTAGCCTCTGGAACTTTTTATATTTTCATCATTTATCTATTTCCCATAATCTAAAATGTCTATTCTCTATTTTTTTTTATACTTTGACCTATAGATGATATCATGAAGCATGGGGTTGATGCTAGTAACTTGTTAAGTTTAACTTTTTGCTGGGTAGTGGTGCACACTTTTAATCCGAGCATTCGGGAGGCAGAGGCAGGTGGATCTCTATGAGTTTGAGGCCCGCCTGGGCTACAGAGTGAGTTCTAGGACAGCCAGGGCCACACAGAAACCCTGTCTAGAAAAACAAAACAAAACAAAAAGTTTAACTGTTTATCTTTACTTTCTTAGAAAATTCTATATCGCCTAGTTTCTTCAGTTAAAAAAATAAAATTAGGCTGGGCGGTGATGGCACATGCTTTTAATCCCAGCACTTGGGAGGCAGAGGCAGGCGGATCTCTTGAGTTAGAGGCCACCCTGTGCTACAGAGTAAGTTCCAGGAAAGGCTCCAAAGCTACACAGAGAAACCCTGTCTCTAAATAAATCAATATGTTAGGAACATGAAGTTTACCTGCTAACTTTCTGCAGATTGAGGAAGGTATTGTGGTACTGGAAGATGATTCTCCAGTGGAAGCTGTGAGCACACCTCACACTCCCCGAAACCTTGCTGCCTGGAAGATCAGCATTCCGTATGTTGACTTCTTTGAGGATCCCTCCTCCGAAAGGAAGGAGAAGAAGGAGAGAATTCCTGTGTTTTGTATTGATGTTGAAAGAAACGATAGACGAGCAGGTAAGATTTCTGAGTCTTCCTAAGATGCCCACAAGTCTGTCTTTACAGAGTGTAAACTTGTCGCTATTTGTAACTATTGAATGTGATTATAAGTGTCCAGAACGAAAACGGAAGGAAAGCTTAGTGTTCCCTAGGTTACTTGTTCCCAGTTAACTAATTTATTCAGCCAACACTGAGTTACCTCAGAGCCCAAGGAATCTTATGTAATGGTCTTCTACTGTTTTGTTTTTAAAGATTATTTCTTTTTTACCTTATGTGTGTGAGAGTTTTGGCTGTATGTTTATATATATATATATGTGCCTGGTATCTGCAGTTCTGGAACTGGAGTTACAGGTGGTTGTGAACCACCCGGTGAGTGCTGGGAACCAAACCTGGTCCTCCGGAAGAGCAGCCAGTGCTTAGCCCCCGAGCCACTTCTCCGGGCCTCTTTTGACTGGTTTTGTTGCTGTCATCCTCAGCATTGTACTTAGTTCGCTATCATGAATGCATTTGCCACTCTACTAAGTATTACACCGACTTACTACATTAATTTATATGCAGTGAGGCTTTATTAGAGTACACAATATATCACCACAGAGGCCACTTGTGGACAGTGGTTTTCTTTCTACCATGTGGATCCTAGCTATCAAGCTTGGTTGTACTAAGCTATCTCTCCAGCCCTTGTATTATACCAGTTCAAACAACATTCCCTTTTCCCATTTCTTTTTCATTTTAACCATTTTTTAATTACATTTTTTTCATACAGTGTATTTTGATCATGTTTTTCCCTTCCCCACATCCCCCCCCCCCTTTTTTTGTTAAAGGCGAAGTAGAATTGGATGAACTATGATCAAACACAACTTTACCGAACGTCTTCTTGTTTTGCTGTATCTCTCCTTTGGCTGACTCAGGTGTGGATTGTAATTGAGAACTGAGCAGCACTGACAGCAGAATAATCCTCGCCACTCAGCTTTGTTGAGCAGGTGGGGCATTCAGTCTACAGGGAACACAAAGTCCTGTACATTTTGGGACTGACAATAGAAACTTAAAGTAAAGCTTAGGAAGGGGGAAGCATCTGTGAGGTGAGGGAGTGACAGACTAGTTAAGGGGTTTTCAGACTAGTTAACTGAGTAGCAATGAAGGCCAGTGCTTATCATTTCCCTTACTGAATTTTCAAAAAATATTTTCAGAAACTAATCTTACTTTAGGAACACAGAGCATAAAATGAGGAGCAGATTGTTCTGAGTAGCTGACTGTGATGTCTGCTATGATGACTGTGTAGCAGGCAGGACTTACCCATCCAGGCAGAGGCAATGCTGATTCTATGGTAGCTGCTGTTGGTCCTGCTGAGGAAGTACATCGTGAAATCATTACCCTTCCTGGAGTCTGAGCTCTCCTTCAGGCCTCATTTTTATTGGTCAAATGTTTTTGTTACTGATTTTCTGAACAAACATTTAAATTTTTTGTGCTCTATTTTTAAAAGTTTGGCTTAATAATTAAAATGTAAACTATAAATATAACCTAAAAATAACTATAGTCATCAACATCACAGAGCCTTGCTGTCCATATAATGTGCCTTTAGGAAGCATGACCTCCGAAGGAGAAAAGTATATATCATTTTCATCATTTGTTACATTGATTTCTTTTTTGGGGCAGGAAAATACAATTCTCGGATTTTATGGGCTAGTGAAATGACTCTGAATAAAAGAAGGTACTTGCCAGGCAACCTGATTTACTTACTGCTCTGGGACTCACATGGTGGAAAAAGAACCGACTCCCACAAGTTGTCCCCTGACTTGTACATGTGTGCTATGGCATGGCATACATGTGTATACAGACAAACATACAAAAATCAATACTTTTGTAAATTTTAAAGATAGTAATTGCACACTTTTGAAAGTTTCTACCCGCTTTGTGATTCCCTTACTGAAAACCATCTGTTTGCGTGTCATATTCTAAAAATGAAATCTATCAGTTTCTTCTAGAAAATTTAGAATTAAAATGTGGGATGGAATATGATAATGGGATAACTAAAATAAAGACTGTAATGTAATGCCCCCCATTTTAGTTTTATTAATGTTTCACTTTTTGTAGTAGGTTGTAAAATTGCTTATTTTTAACTTACAGTTGGACATGAGCCTGAACATTGGTCTGTCTATAGAAGATACCTTGAATTCTATGTACTTGAATCAAAACTAACAGAATTTCATGGTATGTTGCTTTCTTATATAAAACATTATAATTCTGCGATTGGCCTTCTTGAAAGGTCTTGTACCAGATTTTTTTTTTTTTACTTTAAGTAAAATTTTACTTTAAGTAGTAAGTTGATGTTGACAGTTGTATGTAGTTCTGTTGAAAATAAGAATGTTGGTTTTTTGCTTTTTTTCCTTGTCTATATTTTAAGTTTTTATAGTGCACATTAACTTTTTTTAGTGATAAAAGTTTAAAAGCAGCTGTTTGTGATTGGAAAAAGTGCTATCTAACTCTGATTGTGTGAAGATTATTCAAACATAATGTCGTATCTCTACAAGGCAGTATTGTGAACCCGAATTTTCATAGTAGTTTCAACTAGCCAAAATAGTAAGAACTTTATGCACCAATTTCAGGCACATTTCCTGATGCTCAGCTTCCATCCAAAAGGATCATTGGTCCCAAAAACTATGAGTTCTTAAAGTCGAAGAGAGAGGAGTTTCAGGAATACCTTCAGGTAAGCACCAGCGCCCATGCTCCGTGTGTTGCTGCGGCACCACCTCACGTGCTGGATTTGAGACATCAATAACTCCAGTGTGTTTCTCTTCTCTTATGTGCATGTGCTTTTTTCCTGTTTTCCTCATTTATTTCTTCACATTTTTATTTGCATATATTCATTGTACAAAATAATGTTTTTATTATGCCGTTTCCATATGTGTGGATGATGTATTTCGATCATATTCACTTCCCTCCTAACCCTTTGTTCTCTTTTCCGCCTTCCCCACCTCCAGCTGGTTGCCTTCCTCTTCCTAAATAGCCCTCTTCCACTTTTATATCTTTTTTTAAAAAAAAAATCTAGAATCTTATGGGAGGAAATATATGATGTTTATCTTTCTGAGACTTGCTTATTTGCTTGACATGATGATTCCAGTTCCATTCATTTTTCTGGTAAATTACATCACTTTGTTCGTTGTGACTGAATGAAACAGCAGTGTGCATACATAATACATTTGCTTATCCATGACCTGTTGTTGATGTGTAAGTATCTTGGTCTGATTCTGAAACTTGGCTATTGTGAGTAGTATCACAGTAAACATGGATATGCAGATGTCTCTTGTTCACCATGCATGCTTTGCTCTGTAATACCTGTCCACAGAATTAAAACATACCTTTTTCTTTTCTTTCTTTCTTTTTTTTTTTTTTAAAGATTTACATATTATATATACAGTGTTCTGCCTGCACTCCAGAAGAGGGCACTAGATCTTATTATAGATGATTGTGATTGCTGGGAATTGAACTCAGGACCTCTGGAAGTGCTAGTGCTCTTAACCTCTGAGCCATTTCTCCAGCCCAACATACCTTTTTCTATGTGGATTTTAAAATGAACTTTTGGCTGGGCATGGTGGTCCACACCTTTAATGCTAGCACTTGTAAGGCAGAGGCAGTTAGATCTTGGTGAGTTTGAGGCTAGCCTGGTCTACAGAGTGAGTTCCAGGACAGCCAGAGAGAGCTACAAAGTGAGACCCTGTCTCAGGGGGGAAAAAATCTCATATATATACTGTTTGTATTGTTGTTTTGTGATACTGGGAATCAAACTTAGGGTCTTGCGCATGCCAGCTAAGCACTTTACCACTGATCTATATCCCTGATCCTCAGTATTTTTTTAAAATTAATGACCAATAAAATAATAGCTACTTCTTGGAGAGGGCTTTAATTGGTTTTATGCTAATTAAAATCTTAATATGAAAGACTTAAAAAGAAAACCTTTTAGTATAAAAAAATTAAATGTATTCTAAGAATGTTGAACTCTGTTTGATTTGATGCTTAACTTTCTCAGCTTGGGAATTGTCCTTCTCGCTTTATTACTTAGTCTTTTTTATTATACAGTTTGTAAGTTTTGTAAGAGCTGGTAGGATCAGCTCCCTACCAGTCACCACTCAGAATTGACTTCCCATGTTTCTCAGTATATGTACATTGTGTTACACAAACACTGTAATCATTTACAAAAATATATACATAAGCAATGTAAATTATTTCAGTGAATAATATAATCAGCTTAAAAGTCATTTGGTTAAATAGGAAATATATTTTGATGACTTAAGGTTTCTTGCTCTTTGTTTGTTTACAATCATTTTAGACCAGTTTGATTATGCTTCTGTGTTTCTGATCTGTTTCCCTCCTCTGTTCTGTTTATTGAAGAAACTTCTGCAGCATCCGGAACTGAGTAACAGTCAACTTCTGGCAGACTTTCTGTCCCCTAATGGTGGAGAAACACAGTTTCTTGATAAGATACTTCCAGATGTAAATCTTGGTAAGTCATTTGAAAATATATATATGTGTAAAAACAATGTTTTCAGACTAGTGTAGAAAAATGGTTTTGAAAGTATGGATGGCCGTGTGATAAAGTCCAAAGAACTTCTTTTGAAGTTAGAGATATGTTATCCTGATTATTTTACTAGTCACTTCTAACCACTTGTTTTATCCAGAAAACTATTAGCCAGTAATATCCTTGCATTTATTTGTATATTTAAATAAGGTTATGTATTGCACAACAGTGCTTTACTCAATGACAGACTGCATAAATGACAGTGGTCCTTTAAATTATGTCACCTGGTGACTTATAGCTGTCATAAGTTTGTGTAAGGGCACTCTTTGAAGTTTGTGCAACAAAATCACCTAGCAGCAAATTTCTAAGGATGTATCCCTATCCTTAGGTATACATATAAGAAAAATAAGTGATAGTGTGTTTCCAGCAGATGTGAATATACTTAGTCATCACTCATATGAGTAACTTTAATAAAATTTCTTTAAAAATACCATAGCTTTTGATGTTTGATATAGAGACTCATCTGGGCCTTTCCCCCCCTCTAACTTCAAGTTATATAATTTCTTTTCATTTATTTACTGTTGAGGATCTTATATCTGTGTTTGAGAAGGTTTATAGCCAGATTGTGATCATAGTTCAAGCTAGAAACAGCATGAAAATTCATTATCGAAAGAATGGACAGATAAACTGTAGAGTCTTTTAAATATATATATATATATTTCAATTTATTTAATTTTATTTCATGCACATTGGTGTTTTGTCTACATGTAGCTCTGTGTGAGGATGTTGGATCCTCTGGAACTGGAGCTACAGAGAGTTGTGAGCCACCATGTGGGTGCTGGGAACTGAACCTGTGTCCTCTGAAGAACAGCCAGTGCTCTTAACCACTGAGCCATCTCTCCAGCCCCAAACTATAGAGTCTTAATGTTGAGTTCTATAGAAATGAATGCCTGTGGCTTGAAGTAACTTGCAACAGTGTGGATGAGTCTTAGAAGTGTGACATTGGGATTTGCCTGTTCCACATGCATGAGGCCCTGGGTTTGAGCCCCATCTCAAAACAAAGCACATGTCAAATGAAAGACACAAAGCACACATGAAAATCAATAAATACAACTTTTTTCTTTTCTTTTTTTTATTTTTCACAACAGGGTTTCTCTGTGTAATAGTCCTGGCTGTTCTGGAACTCACTTTGTAGACCAGACTAGCCTCGAACTCATAGAAATCCACCTGCCTCTGCCTCCCCCAAATGCTGGGATTAAATATGTGCACCACCACTGCTTGGCTACAACATTTCTTTTATGTAAAGTTCAAATTAGCTAAACTAACTTGCTAGAAATATTTGTATAAAATTGTTGAAGCCAATATATGACAAATCCAGTGTTTCTCAGAATGTCTTTTAAGATACAGGTTTAAGTAGAACTGAACCAGCTTCCCTTTAAACCTCTATATGAACATATTTAGTTGATTTAAAGCATTTGTGATGTGTAGCCTTCTTCTCAGGAGAAATCGTGAGGACCTTTTTATACTTGGTTGTATTTGGTATTTAGGAAATAGAGTTAACTTAACCTGGTTTCCTATTAGGTTTGACAGGAGGTGAAAAAATATAAACAACTGAATGCATGTGTTGCTTTTTGTGATTTTTGATCATTTTAGAACAGTTTTGCACTTACTGAGTTTAAGAATCCAGTTTTCCAGGGCAGAAGAAGCCAGTAGACAGACAGATGGACTAGTGATTTGGTAGTAGGCTGTGAGAGGATTGGATAGTTTCTCTGTCATAAAAAAAGTCTTTGTTGTTGTTTCTTAGGATTGTTATGCCTTCCAAATTTTAAAGAAATTTAAGTTGTATTTGGAAATTTAGATTAATTTGTATGTTATTTTTTAAATGCTTGATAAAGTCTTCAGATGCTTAGTATTTTTGATAAGGGAACCAGGAGATATAAACAATAAATAATTTGGGAAAGCATAGGTTTTTTTTTTTTTTTTTTTCCTCTCCTTGTTTTGGAGAAAGGGTCTTACTACATAGTCTTGGATGTCCTTGAACTCTTGAGCCTCCTGCCACAGTTGCTGGGAGTGATGGGTATGTGCCATGCCTGTCTAGAATGGAAAATTTTAAAAATTTAGAATATCAACTATTCCAGTAGCTTAAATATTTCTCAAAACATTCTTATATATTTGACTAGCTTTTGTGTATGTTTAAGTATGATATAGTCATCATTGTTTAAAATGTTTTGAAAGCATTTTAAAAACTTTTTTGAATTTGTGTGTATAGGTGTGTGTTTGTGTGTGTGTGTGCATGCCATGTTTTGTGTAGGTGCCCATGGAATCAAGAAAAGGCAATCAGATCCCCTCGAGCTGAAGTTAAAGGCAACTGTGAGCTGCTCACCTTGGACTGAGAACCAAACTCAGGTCCTCAGAAGAGCAACAAGCTCTCTTAATCACTAAGCCAATTCTCCAGTCCTGTTGAAACATCTTTATAAAATTTTTCTGGGCAAAGCATGAAGCTAATGGTAGACCATTTGCCTGACATGTAAAGGTCCTAGGTTTGGTTCCAGCACCAAAGACAAAAAAGGACGGGAGACGGGGGAAGGAGTAAATGAATGAGTGAGCAAATGAATAAACATTAGGTCAACTAGACATCAAAGTAGAGGATTATGTTCTCATCTCCTTGCTGTACACTAACATTTACCAGCAGTGAGCTTCTTGCATCTCTAGTATGTCTTCACGACTTATTTTTACATTAAATCCCAATGTATCTGTGAAATAGTTTGGGGTATCACCTTTATTATAAATTTATGTTGAAATGTGAAATGATAAATTATAAATAGATTATACAGCCTTGGCTTTTTATCTGACTATTTACTGTTTAAAACTACCTAGTGAAATATTCATGTAAACAATTAAACAGTTATGTTATATTTTCATAAAATTAATATTTTATTTTTAATTACAGGGAAAATTATAAAGTCTGTTCCTGGAAAACTAATGAAAGAGGTGAATTACCAATTTATGTATATTTATAAATGATGATGATGTTCTTAATTACTGATGAATTGTAGTGGCTTCTGTGATATTAAAAGTGCTTATCTCCTCTGTCACCACAGAAAGGTCAGCATTTGGAACCATTCATCATGAGTTTCATTAATTCTTGTGAATCCCCAAAACCTAAACCGAGTAGACCAGAACTGACTATTCTCAGCCCCACTTCGGAAAACAACAAGAAGGTACTGCATATTGTGTAAAGAGGCAGTAAGTAATGCCGAAGACAGCTGTGGGGGAGGGGCTGTGCAGGAGACGCTGCAAGGGACGGCTCGGGTTGTGCCTTTTCAGTCTTGGTGTTCTTACTGGTTTTGAAAAATTCTCGGCTATTCTCTCTGCAGCCATGCCTTTTCCATTCCTTCACTGTCTCCCTTCAGCACGGATGCAATTCTCATTCTGTTTCCAGTATCGTCGTCCAGTGCTCTCCCGTGTTCTGTCCCCTTCGTTCCCACTGTTTGTGTCTCTGTTTATCCTGATCCATCTGCAGCCTGTTTATTTTTCATCTGTCTGCTGTTTAAACCCATCTAGACTTTTTAGTTTTTTTAGAAGTAGGGTTTCTTTGTGTAGTTTTGGTGCCTGTCCTGGAACTTGCTCTGTAGACCAGGCTGGCCTCGAACTCACAGATATCCGCCTGGCTCTGCCTCCGAGTGCAGGGATTAAAGGCGTGCACCACCACCCAGCCATCCAGACTTTTGAAAGAGTTGTGTTGCTTACTTTTAGAATTAAAAACTGTTCCCTCCAAGTCTGCTATTGTTTTCAATAATGGTTCACTGTTTTCTGCAGACAGTTCAGACAAAACACTTGACCCCCCCCCCCCCCCAATCTTCACCTGTATTGAATGTAGAAATTCCATTAAAGGCTATAGGGAAAAACATGTTCAAGAGGAGAAATTAAAACATGAGCCTCACTTTTTTCCTCTCCTCAGCCATCGCTTAAAGTTGTTCTCAGCCCCGTTCTTGAGAGTTGTGGCTCCCTAGAGACAGATGCAGACAGGTACAAGTGCACACCACCTGTCTGGTAATCTCCACTTCTCTCCTGGATTGGGAATACACCTTCATGTTGAAACTCAAAAACAGCTGAAGTTTTCGGAGCTTCTCCTTTAGGTGGCCTTCATTCTAGCATACTTGTGAGTGTTGGAATATTAGCTGTCTGATGGGCAGCATCACAGAGCATTGTCCAGGGGGAAGCATAAGGAAAGAGGAAGTATACTGGAGTGCGAATTTTCATACACAGAGGGCACATTTGCAAAGTTGAGGCAAGTGGTCATTACTGGAAATTTTCTTTACTGGTGGCTTGTGAATGGGCTCAGTCTTTAGGATAAGAAATTTTGGTATTATATAACGATAGGTCGTCATGTGTTTATACTCTTTGACCTCATAGAAGAAAGTAAATTAACAGAAAAGCCTATAATATGTAAAGATACCTGCTAAAATTTTCCTATAGAAGGGACATTTAGAAATGAATTCTAGCATTACAGGCCTGATTAATTATCTTAAAGAATGTTATCGGCAGATAAATCATATTAGTGAAAATATACAAAGCACAATATGGATACTTAACTCAGTGAAGAAAGTAGAAAAACATTTTTTGATCTTTTTGGGTTTTTTTTTTTTTCTTAATTTTTTTTTAAACTGGAGACCAAACTCACAGCACTATGCATGCTAGGAAAGTACTCCACCACTGAGCTAAGTACGCAACTCCAGGGAATGCTCTCTTGAATCCGAATGATTACGGATCTGTTCAGACACTAGACAGGGATATACAGCAAGCACAGTAGTTAGGATTATAGGGGGCTGGATTTTCTCCCTTTCTGTTCAGACTTTCTGTGTTTTCTAATGAAAAATTAGACTTAAAAATGTAGGTGGGTGAGGGAAGATTCATCTTCAGGTACGGTTAAATACACTTTCCTCTATGGTAGCCGCTGCTCTATTTCTCTTATCTTCATCTCCTCCCTCACCCCCGGGGAGGGTACACTGTGTAGTCCTAGCTGGCCTCTAACTCACAGATATCCAACTGCCTCTGCCTCCCAAGTACTGACATTTAAGGTGTGTGTGCCACCAGGCCTGACTTTAGTTTGCGTATTTCTTGATCTGTTTCTATTAGATGTTCAGTTTCTGTTCTCTTTTGCACTTACTGCTCTTTGTATGATCTTTGGCTCATAGAACTTAATGTTTGTTGGATAGTTGCATAAATGAAGAAAACAATGACTTTGTTAAAATGAATTACCTAACATATATTAGATTGTTACTGCCCACAGAGTCATTGCTTGTCATAAGATTTGATCAGTAGGACTGCTTTGTCTTTTTGGGGTAGGATCTAATGTGGTCTAGGCTGGCTTTGCCTTCACTGTGTAGCCAGCAGATGACCTTAAACTGCCCTTCTGCATTTACCTCCTGAGTGCTGGGAGTCTAGGCATGCACCACACAACACTGTGGATAGAACTCAAGGCTTCATGCATGCTAGACAAGTACTTGTCCAACTAAGTCGATCCCCAGAACAGTTTTTCCCTGTATTAATTAAACTGTTTTGGGTTTGAATAATAGTGCACAAATGAACTTTGTATAAAGGTGAACTTTTATATCTGCGTATTTGTGAGCAATTTGTGATCTTTAAATCATACTAGTTTAAAATTAGCTGTTGGTAATATGTTTACACACCATTACGAATTAGTTTGTTTCTTTGGATTTATGTAAACGAAGGAGAGCATCTTAGGTGGCCGAGGCAGGAAAACTGCCAAGAGTTTGAGGTCTGCTAGGTGGTAGTGGACCATGCCTTTAATCCCAGAACTTGGGAGGCAGAGAAAAGTGGATCTCTGTCAGTTCGAGGCCAGCCTGGTCTACGGAGCAAGTTCCAGGGCAGCCAGGGCTATACAGAGAAACCCTGTCTTGAAAAACAAAACAAAACAGTTTGAGTCAGCCTGAGTTTCATGCTGGATTCCAGGCCAGTTCGGGCTAAGAGTGAGACCAAATGCAAAACACTAACATCCATAACACAAAGGAGGGGAGGCAGCTCTTGTGGTGCATTCCTGTAAAACCTCACTCCTGGGAGGCCAAGGGGGAGCCAGTCTGGGGCTATATAGCTTAGCCCTATCTCTGCATCCTTCTGAAAAATTAACAGTAAAAATGAGGGGGCAGGGATATTGCTTAGTGGTAGAGCACTTGCCTTGCTTGCATGAAGCTCTAGGTTTAGAACAACCAAGCACCACAAAGCAAACAACCAAAAAAGGGAAGCAAGCGCGTGCGTGCGTGCGTGCACACACACACACACACACACACACACACACACACACATGCGCGCGCGCACGCGCTCATGCACAGAGGAAAGAAAAAAAATTCTTTATGGATAATGAATTAACTCATGTCAAAAGTGAATCTACTCTTTTATGTAATAGTTTGAGAGGAGTATATGTTTTTATTGTAGCTTTGATTACAAATGTGAAACTTTGAAAACAGATTTTAAACTTTCTTAATGCCATTTTTGTTCTTTTACCTTTAGTGATTATATCAGTAGGTGCAATAAATTGTACATCGCTTTATTATTTCAATTTTTACTTCAGCTTTTCAATGATCTGTTTAAGAATAATGCAAACCGTGCTGAGACTACAGAGCGAAAGCAAAATCAGAACTACTTCATGGAGGTGATGACTGTGGATGGAGTCTATGATTACCTGATGTATGTAGGTAAGGTCTAACTGCTCTGAGTTGTTCGTCATTAATCTGCCTCCTGATGCACATAACAGCCCTACCTTAGCTTTGTAAAAGACACTCCTTTCACAGATTTGATACATTGGCCTTGAACATGTAAAAGTTACTAGTGATTGTGAGTAAAACTGACCTCTGTTGCTTGTATGCATTTATCATCTTGAGCAACAGCCATCTCAGTTGATTCTCAATTGGTTTTCCTCAGGACGAGTAGTTTTTCAAGTTCCAGATTGGCTCCATCATCTTTTGATGGGCACTCGAATCCTCTTCAAGAACACACTGGAGATGTACACTGACTACTACCTGCAGTGCAAGCTCGAGCAGCTCTTTCAGGAGCACCGGCTCGTTTCCCTCATAACGCTTCTCCGAGGTTCGCATCTGAGCCGTCTTTCTTCGTGTTGTGTGCTTGTGATTTTAGTTAGAGCTAAAAAAGTAAAGGGTGTTTTGTTGGTTTGTTTTAACTAAAGTTTCTATTAGGAAATACTGTGTATAAATTGGAGAATAATTGTATAATTTTCTTGTACTCATTTTCAGATGCTATATTTTGTGAAAATACTGAACCTCGGTCCCTCCAAGATAAGCAAAAAGGAGCAAAACAGACTTTTGAAGAAATGATGAATTACATTCCAGGTATAATGCTTAAATAACTCAATTTCATATAGATCAGCACCCCTCTGAAGTTGCAATGTGATTATTGAAACTAGTAGTTATGATGAGTTTTTAATCTTAGAAATAGTTAGCCATTCATAAATGCAATTTGTTCTTTTGTTGATATCACTAGTATTTTGTTTGTTTGAGTTAGACTCTCCAGTAGGAGCCCAGGCTGGCTTCTAACTTGCAACAGTTCTCTTGCTTCAGTCTTTTGAGTACTAGAATTTATACGTCTGAGCTGCCATATTTGGCTCACCCCTAAAATTTAAGACAAGGTTATTTCTGCTCACACAATAATCGGGGTCTTTTGTTTGTTTGGTTAGTTTTTGTTTTTCTGAAACAGGGTCTGTTATGTGGCTGGCTTCCTATGGAACTTGCTGTGTAGAACAGACTGGCCTCATTTGCATTCCTCTTCCTACCTTTGCTTCCCAAATGACGAAGTTACAGGTGTCCACATCTGGTTATAGTCATTGTTCTGTGTATTTCTATATGTGTGTACACAAATGCACAAACATCATTGCAGTTTAAATTCTTTTGCTTGGGGGCTGGAGAGACGGCTCAGTAGTTAAGAGTACAATTTAGTGTACAGTTGGACACATTATAGCTCACACTATGAATCCCAGGACTCGGGAGGCAGAAGCAGGTGCCTCTCTGAGTTGGAGGCCAGCTTGTTCCACAGAGTAGGTTCTGATTCAGCCAGGGCTATTACACAGAGAAACTCTGTCTCAGGGCTGAGGGGCCTGGTGGGATGGGGGTGGGGGGCGGGGGTGGGCACGGCGTAACATACTATCCTAGCAGAGAACATTAAGTAGTTTACAACTAACACCAGTTCCAGAAACTCTAATGCCCTCTTCCGGCCTTTGTGGGCACTGACACTCATTTGCACATCTTTCCTCACAAACACAAACTGTACATATAATTAAAAGTAAATCTTGTTCTAACAGAACCAGGGAGGCTATATGGCAGGGGGAACCCTAGGATGACTGTGGCTTAGAATATGTTTTGGTTTTACTAAAATAAATAAATAAATAACTGAATAAACAAACAAACAAAAAACAGGAAAAAATAAATCTTAAAAAATTGGTTTGCTTTACCCTAATGTGTAATAAAATATGTATAATTTTAAGTCTCTTTTTATCACTTAGTGGTAGTTGATTTATATGCTGCAGTACGACCTGTGCATTGTAAACTTCCAAAAGGATTAATGACAACTACATTTTTTTGACATGACCATAAAACTTGTTTCTAGGAGCTTCTTGCAAAAGCTGGTTTGAGAAATACTGACTGACAGCTTTTACATGGTGTCTGTGAACAGAGGAGGCATTTTACTTTAAGAGGCAGCTAGTGATGACATTATGAACTGTTTCACATGTGGCTTTCTTGTTTAGATCTGATAGTCAAGTGTATTGGTGAAGAAACCAAGTACGAAAGCATCAGGCTTCTGTTTGACGGCTTGCAGCAGCCAGTGCTCAACAAGCAGGTAAGTAGGCTAGCGTTGGTGTGGTTTGCTGAGCAACAAGGTGCATGAGTCACTATACAAAATCAAGTCTATGTAATCTAAGCGTTCAGATAGGAAAATCCATATATACTGTTTTTGCAGGCTGTCTTTCTTTGCAACATGTAGTATTAAAGTTAATGTATCTTCTTAGTAGAAAATTTTGAATGTATAGAAAATTTATGACATGAAGTAAACATTTAAATTTTGGTAATTCAAGTCATAGAATAACCAGCTAACATTTTTATATATATAGTCCCTGTATATTTTGTTGAAATTTTAATATAATTTCAATGTTCTGCTTGTTTATTTAAAACTTGTTCAAAACAATTTACATAATTATGGGTGAAATATAATAGTGTCAGTTTTTTTTTTATTCACAAAGGTCTCTACCATGCTTTTAAGGGTAGAGCATTATTGGTGGGTGTTAGTTATATTTTATGCTTTATGTTGCCATTGCGTTCCCTGCCCTCTCACTTAGCGATTACCACAGTCCTGGATTTTGTGCTTGTCATTTTTACTGTCTAATACCTTACATTTTATTACATGTTTTCGTGCTGCAGCTGACCTATGTTTTGCTGGACATTGTGATACAGGAACTGTTTCCAGAGCTAAATAAGGTAACTGGAAAGCAGTAATTTATTTGTTCTTCTCTGAGTGGTGTTTGGACATTTAATTAGAGACACAGAATTTAAGGAAGCCATTGTGACTGCAGTCATTTGACAGCTGAACAACCTGAGACAAGTGGCTTTTTGTATTGTCCTTAGCCAACATGTCCAAAGGTAGAGTGGATTTGGGGTAGCAGAAGCTGAACAGTCTCTGCCTTGATGTCCCCTTTTCCTAGTTATAAGCAGGTAAGGGCCCTTTACTGTGCTCTCAGCTGAAGATGTCACTGATCTTAGCATTCAATGGACCTAGCTGTTCAGATGATCACCTGTAACATTGTCTGCCGTATAAATCAGCGACTTCACTGGTTTTTGAACATGGATCAGTGAATCCAAGAACACAAAATGAAGTAGAGGTAGTCCATGGTGTTATTACTATATTTAATCTTGAGGAGGTTGAGCTTTTTAAAAATGTAATTTAACAGTTTATTCTTTTAACATTTCATACATGTATACCATGCATTTAGCCTTCTGTCCTTTAATCCCCTAACTCCCTCTGGACCCCCTCTCAACACGTCTGCCTCCCAATTTTATTTCTTTTAAAATAACCCATTGAGTCCAATTATGCTGCCCATGTGTGCGTGGTGTGGGGGCATCACCCAGTGGAGCATGGGCAGCCTCCCTGGGGCCACTCGTAAAGAGGATGACTCCTCTTTTTTCATTAAATTTTTTCATTTATTTTACATACCAACCACAGTTTTCCCTCCCTCCTCTCTTCCTGTTCCCTCTCTCCACCTCCTTGCTGTCATCCACCTCCACCCTACCCCACCCACTCCTCCTCTGTTCATAAAGGGGCAGGCCTCCCATGGGAGTCAGCAAAGCATGGCATATCATGGTGAGGCAAGGTCAAGCTCCTCCCCCTGCTTCACACATCAAGGCTGGGCTGAGGCATCCCTGCATGGGGAATAGGTTCCAAAGCTAGCTCATGTACCAGGGACAGGTCCTGATTCCGCTGCTAGGGGTCCCACAAACAGACCAAGCTATACAACTGTCATGGATGACTCCTCTTAACAGCTGTCAATGGCCAATGGTTGCTCAGAAGTGGGGCTCTTCACTCCCTCCTATATGCATCCTGAAATTTTGACTGGTTTTTTTTTTTATGTGTTGATAGATTGATTAATTGATGTGTGGGGGGGGGGGTACACTCATGTGTAATATATATAAACACACCACAGTGCAAGTGTGACATTCACAGGACAGCTTTCAGGGTTGGTTCTCTTTCCACTGTGTGGGTTATCAGGTTGAATTCCGGTTGTTAGATTTGGTAGCAATGCTCTTACTACTGAGCTGTCTTGTTCTAGTGCAACCCCCACCCCCTTTTTTCCTTTTTGAGATGCTAGGGATTGAACCTAGGGCCTTATGTATGACTGTCTTAATCTTGTGCAGGAACCCCCAGTTACTGTGAGTTCATGAGGGTACCAGCATTTCACAGTACTGTTCCCCATCTTCAAGCTCTAGGATTCTTCCCCTCCTTTCTTCCTAGATGTTTCCTTTGCCTTGGGATATGGGAGTTGATATAAGTGTCCCGTTAGAGCTGAACACTCCCAGTCACATATCTTCAGCACTTTGACCAGTTAGGAGTCTTCACTAACTGCTGTCCATGGCAAAAGGCCGTTTCTCTGACTAAGGCTGAGAGCAGCGCTAATCTATGGGTGTGAATACACGTGTTTAGAAGGTGCTTCGATAACAAGACTTTTAGCAGCCATACTCGGCTCCCTCCTAAGGCTTATGACTGTTCCAGCCATTGGTTATTGACCAGATTTACAGCATCAGGCATGAATTCGATGCTGTGGAGCAGCCTCAGATCCGATCAGAAAAAGGTTTTAGCCCCATAACAGTCACACTGCTCTTGTACTCAGGGCATGGCTTGGCTGGCAGGTTCATAGCATGCAAGGTCCAGCACTTGTTGGCTGTTTCTCTTCCCTGGTAGCCTGTCTAGGACCCTTTGGAACTTTGAAACCTAGCCAGCAGGGAGGAAGTTTCCCAGTCAGTTCCAGATTGAGTTCTCTATGTACTATAGCCAAAGTGCGGCATCCTTATAAGTAGGGTCTTATAACCATTTCTTATTTCTAAAGATGTATGTATTTATGTATATATATACTTGTGGGGGGCGGGGGGTGTATGTCTGTGTCTGTGTGAGTGTATGTACATGTGGAAGTCAAGAAGTCATAGCTGTCCTCCTGTCTCTGTCTTCTTAGGAGCTGTGGTTACAAATACAGTGCTTAGCTTGTGACATGGCTAATGGGATTGGAATTCTAGTTCTCATAATTGCACAGCAGGGGTTGTTAACTGCTGAACCATCTCTCCAGCTCCCTTACTTTTTGACTAATCCCTTTAGTTAGATTGAAACAAACTAACTCACTTCTGTAGAGTAGGGAAACCAGATTTGGATTGTTCATCTATTGATTGTAAGTTTTCAAATTTTAGTAATATTAAATGTATTTTTTAAAAAAGGTGGTAACGTTTGATATCTTATGTTAAATTACATTGGAATGAATACCAGAAAACTTTTAGCTTTGAGATTTTTATCAGGTCTGTGACAATGTATTGCTATTATCTGTTGCGTGTGCCAGCAAGTATTTGGTTTACTCTGTGTGTGTGTGTGTGTGTGTGTGTGTGTGTGTGTGTGTGTGTGTGTGTTATGAGTGATCTGTAGGCCAAAGGTTGATGTTATGAGTTTTTGGATGGCTCTTCACCATATTCATATTACTGTAGTAGAGCTATTAGATAATTAAAAAAATGAATCCTATCCTACTGGCTTCTATTAAGTGGATTTATTTTTACTTTTAGGTACAAAAGGAAGCTACCTCCATGACATCCTGGATGTAAACACTTGGTATAGAATAAAATACCAGTATAATAGAAATGTACTTTTTCTTTCACTTTGTATATTTTTATAAATATCATGTACTTTAGTGTTTGAAATATATTTTTTTGTTTTAATAAAGACTAACAAACTTAATAGCAATAAAAAGTGATTAAGTATTATGGCTTTCTGTTTTATATTTACTATCTTGATTTTAGGAGACCATAAGTCACTTATTGCTAGGGGCTTTTTGAGTCTGTGTGTATGTGTGTGCTAGCATATGTGTTCATGTGTGTTGGGGTATGTGTGTGGCTGTTCATGCCCATGTGTGCACCTCTGTGGAGGCCTGAGGTTGATACTGGGTATTTTTCTCTATCACTGTCTATCGAGGTCGAGACAAATCTCTCACCCACAGTCCTGCAGCCTTTTATAAAATAATCACACAGAGGCTTAATGTTATTTATAGCTGCTCAGCTATTAGCTCAGGCTTATTATTGACTAGCTCTTACACTTAAATTAACCCATAATTATTATTTATGTTTAGCCACATGGCTGTTTCTCAGTTCTGCCTTGTCATCTTGCCTCCTCTGTGTCTGGCTGGTGACTCCTAACTCAGCCCTTCCTCTTCCCAGAATTCTACTTATCTGCTTGCCCCGTCTATACTTCCTGCCTGGCTACTGGCCAATCAGTGTTTTATTAAACCATTGTACAAAAGCATCATCCCACAGCAGAGGGCAAGCAAGTAAGACCAACAATCTTTGTATTCTTTTGCTCCGAATGCAGTTGCATTTAGTGTGAAGACACAGAAGCAAGTGGGCCAAGGTTCAAGGTTTCTCCTTGTGTGTCTAGCAGTGCTAGTTCATATATACATAACACAGCACATTTTTACAGCAATTGGCAAGACACACTCACTTATTTATGTTAATGCTAACTACATCTGAAATCATAAATACATAGGCTGCTTACAACACTGGACATATTAGACTTCTGTTTATATTTTTATTTTAAAATTGAATATTTTTATCATGTCAATAAAGAGTAAATGCTTGCTTTTAACAATTTGAAGATCTACCTGTATCTAAATTAGAACACTTCATAGACAATCTTATAATGTGCTTTTTAATTTTCAGAGGGTTTTCCAGATAGTATTAATTTTACTGTATTCTTCTAACCATATAACTCCCTTTGGTAATTCTGTTTGTAGCAATACATTTAAAACATGTTCTCCATGAAGCTCATACATTAAGACACACATAAAAACAGATGAGAAAGAATGGGCATAGTAAAGCATTTGAAATACACCAGGTTAGCCGGCTTCTGAAAGGGGCCAAGACTGTTTTTAGAGACAAATATTTCTTTATATTTCAACAATAACAAGAGCATCAAGATTAGAGAGATCCAAGTGTGACTTTTACCTTCACAGTCCTCTGTTGCCCAACATTATCACCTATAAGACAATACTCACAGCTTGAAAATGCAATGTGATGCTGCATACAAAACACCTTGAAGATAATAGGAATTGTATTGTTTTTCTTTCTCCTTTTTTTTTTTTTTTTTTTTTGGTTTTTTGAGATAGGGTTTCTATCTGTAGTTTTGGTGCCTGTCCTGGAGCTTGCTCTGTAGACCAGACTGGCCTCGAACTCACAGAGATCCGCCTGGCTCTGCCTCCCAAGTGCTGAGATTAAAGGCATGCACCGCCACCCGCCCGGCTTCCTTTCTCCTTTTATAATATGAATGACTTATTTAGCTTTGTATGAGTATCACATTTTCTGTAAGTGGTGCTCTGTCATTGTTATGGTCTGAATTATATCTTAACCAATTCCTATGTTGAAACCACAAATCCCATAGTGACTGTATTTGGAGACAGAGCCTTTCAGGAGGTAATTTAGGTTAAAAGAGTCATTTAGGTGGGACCCTACAACAACAGGATTGATGCTCTTATGAAAAGTAAAGGCGGGCCTGAGAAGATTGTTCTGTGAGTAAAGTTACTTGCTGATAAGCCTGGCGACTGGAGTTCAATCCCTGGAACCCACGTGGTGGAAGAAGAGAATCTATTCCTCCAGGATGTTCTCTGACCTCAACATGAATGTTATGGCACAAGTCAGCATGCAGAAATGTGCATCAGCTTGGATGTGGTGGCAAATCCCAACAGCTCACCATCGAGGAGGAGGCTGCCAGGGACTTTATTTGGATATTTTATGTTCGGAGACAGAGTTTCATGATATAGTCTAGGCTAGACTAGAACTTGCTACATAGCCCAAGACTTGAATTCATGATCCTCCTCCCTCAGCCTCCTGAATGCTGGGATTAATAGGCATGTACCATCATATTTCAAAAGATTTAATTTTTAAAAAAGTTCTTTAAATAAACTATTATAAAAAGATTACAAATAAAAAAAATTACATACCAAAATTAACCAAACCCAAAAAACTATATAGCTTAGTGAACTTGCATACAATTAGGATAGACATTGGGAAGAGCAGCTGTGGAGCTTCACATTGGATTTTACACTTTCACTGTCGACTATGTTTTCATGCACCTATCTACCACCAGATATGAAGTTTTTGACAGAGTTAGAATTAGAAAACATTTAGCTTTCCATCCTTTTCAGTAATTCATTTCCATTACCTGTATTCAATCATCCTCATTCCCTCATACTTAGCCTTTCCTTTTCTCTCTCTGCATGTTATTCTGTACCCACATGGATATTTGTTTACATGTATTATTGCTAGAGTCTATACTTAGAAAGATTTAGTTAATATTTTTTTTAGATTTATTTTATGTGTACGTGCACCATGTGCATGCTTGGGAAGGTCAGAGAGGACATTGAGAGGACATTGAATCTCTTGGGACTGGAGTTACAGGCGCTTGTGAGCTACATGGGTGCTGGGAATTGAATCCAGTCCTCTGCAAGAGTAGTCATTGCTTTTTAACTGCTGAGCCAACTCTGCAGCCCAAGATTTTAAAAGTTGCATAAAAGTCTGGCAAAATGAGACATTGACATTTCATCTGTAAGACAATGAGCTCCAAGCACCAAGTGACCAATTTGGTTAATCTAGCTTTTCTGATTCATTTTAGTAGTATGAGAATGAAATTTGTGTAATTTTCCTTGAGGGCTTTGAGAGGTTTTACTTAACATAGAACGTGCTTGTTTGACTCTTACCTCCTAAGCTCACTTATGCGTGTCTTCAGGGAAGCTTCCTGATGTTCTCTCTGAATCGGAGCCAGTTTTGGTTCTTGGTGGCAATGACAGAAGTTGACAGTCTTGTTTAGAGAGAATACAAAGTGTATCTTTATGTAATTCAGCCCCAGAGAGGTAGTAGTAGAGCTGACCTGTGGGGCGTTTACCCAACCACCCCCAGAGTTTTCTTGAGTGCGAGCAGCAGGAAATATTAGATAGAAGGATTTATTGCGGAGAATATCGCCGAGATAAACAGATAGAAAATAAAGGATAGCCTCGAGAGGGCCTGGAACCTATTCCAACGGGCCCTGACTGTCTCTGCCCCAGGGTTTTTATAGAGACGCCAGGGGGTGGAGCAAAAGACCTCCTCCCCCAGCACAGCCAAGTGCAGACCATCTCAGACACCTGCACTCAGGCCCGTGGTCCTAATCATCCTCTATGTGGACCTGCTGGGTAAAGCCACGAGGAACCCGAGAACGGGCTCCCACACTGACCTAAGTATGAGTTTTGCAGCCCTTAACTCATATAAGGTCTCCACATGGTTTTTGTCTCAGCTTCAGTCTTGTTGGCTATTGTTTATTGTTTAAGTACTTCATGTAGCAGGGGGCGGGGAGAGGGGGAGGCAGTTACAAAAAACTGTGGAATCACTGTATGGACGGCAGGAAAAGCTTGTCTTGCATTTACATACATGTAAAGAATGTTGAGATGGAGAGATGGCTCAGAAGTTAAGAGCACTGGCTGCTCTTCCAGAGGTCCTGAGTTCAATTCCCACCAACCACATGGTGACTCACAACCGTTTATATATGAGATCTGGTGCCCTCTTATGGCATGCAGGCATACATGCAGGCAGAACACTGTATACATAATTAAAAAAAATAAATCAGGCCTTTTACTGTCTTGGTTTGGTAATATATTCTTATCTGTGGACCAATAACTTGAATCAAGATGAATGGCACTGTAGTTGTCAGAAGTAGGTTGGATGTTTGCTTCTATGGCTAGGGGGTTGTAATCAGCTGCCCTACCTATAAGTAGGTGGGCCAGGAGAGGAACAGTATCTACCAAAGTAAGGGTGGGAATGCCTCCTAAGAACAGGAGGAAGAATGGCTAGACACATAGAAGGTTGAATCTCTGTTTTTAGAATTAATGTAGTTTTCTGTGTCTTTACTTAGTGATGGACAGCCTAAGCACAGAGGTATGTCCTATCCATCCGGGTGCTTCTTGTTTGTATCCCAGCAGTACCAGGCACAAAGGACGTGATAGATACAAGATTTGTTATGGGAAGATGCTGTTGAGGTGGAGTAGACAGGAAAGTATTTGGAGGCAGGAATGTGCACGTGGTGATCTCTTTGTATAGTTACTGCCAAAGTGAAAGAAGTGTTGAGTAGACCACAGTGTATGTCTCTAGCTGAACTATTACTATAGGTAGGTGACTATGTCAGCCAACCTTGGCTTGCTGTCAACTCATAATCTTTGTTTGTTTATTGTTTTTATGGTTATGGGTTTTTTGCCTGCATATATGTGGTATATATGTGGACCACATGCATACCTAATGCTCACAGAGGCCAGAAGATGGTATTTACATCACATATGGTTATGAGCTACCATGTAGGTGCTGGGAATTGAACCTGGGTCCTCTGCAAGAGCAGCAGGTACTCTTAACCACTGAGCCTAATTCTTCAGCCCAGGATCATGCTTTTAGATTTCTAAATCAGGTTCAATAAAGAGGTACATCAAGAAAACAAGAGAATACCAGAGAGGGATGCCAGGAGGAAAGGGAAAGGGACTCTTGTAAAAATGTAGCCACTAAGAAATTAGGAACAAGCACAGAGAAGGCATTGATAGTGAGCTAGACTCAGCCATAATTTCACAGTGTTGGTACACATTTCAGAACATCATGTTATATGCCATAAATAACACATATTTTGTTAGCTGAAATCAAAATGCTAAGGATGATTTTAAGTTGAGCAAGAAAATTTGGATGCCCCTTAGAGCTCAGTGCAG